TGGCCGGGGAGCAGCCGGGGATCGAACCGGCGCCACAGAGGCTGTGGGCAGCTTCGCAACCCAGCGCTCAACCGCTGCGCCACCGGGGAGGCCCTACTAAAACACTTTAAATCAGCTGTTGTAAATATGCTCAAAGAACAGAAGGAAACCAGAGCAATATCTAGCCAAATAGAAAATATCAATAAGGAAATGGTATAAAAAGGAACCACACAGAAATTCTGAAGTTGAAAAGTATAATAGCTGCTGGGAAAAATTCACTAGATGGGCTCAGCAGAAAGAAAAAAAAAAAAAGAATTAAGAAAAATGAGCAGAACCTAAGGGCCTGTGGAACACCATTGAATAGACCAATATATGTATAATTGGGATCCCCCAAAAGAGAAAGGGGGAGAAAGAATATTTGAAGACTAATGTGTCCACACTGAGACACATTATAGTCAAACTGTCAAAAGACAAAGGAAGAATCTTAAAAACAGTGAGAAGGAAGTGACTTGTTGCATCCAAAGGATCTTCAACATGATTTTTTTAAAAAAGATTTATTTATGCATACAAGAACCTACAAGAATTGGGGCACAGGCCAGTTGTGCAGTTTGGTGAGAGGACTCACCAGAGACAGAGTGGGGAGCAGAACAAGCAGACCGACTGAAATACACTGCTGAGGGGAGCAGCAAGAGAGACAGGAGAGGTCTGCTGCGCTGTGTGGTTATCTCGCCAGCCGGCTGGGATCGAACCCACACTGCAGAGGCTGCAGACAGCCTCACGGCGCTGCGCTCAACCACCTGTGCCACTAGGGGAGGCCCAGGATCTTCAACATGATTAATAGCTGATGTCTCATCAGCAATCATGGAGGGAAGAAGGCACTGGGATGATTTATTTAAAGTGAGGAAAGAAAACAAAAATAATTGCTCCCCAAGAATTCTATGTCTGGCAAAACTATCCTTCAACAGTGAAAGAAAAACTAAGATATTCCTATATAAGCAAAAGTCGAAGGAGTTTGTTGTTCGTAAACCTGCCCTACAAGAAATGTAAATGTTAAAAATAATCCTTTGGGCTGAAATGAAAGGGCACCAGAGGTGAACTGGAAGCCATGTAAAGAAACAAGGGACCCTGGTAAAGTTTACCACTCATAAAAGCCAGTGTTTTGTTGCTGTTTTTGGTTCATAACTCTTTTTTTCTCCTTGTTTCAAAATGATTTAAAAGACTGATGCATAAAACAGCAATTATAAATCCATGTTAATAGGCACACAATACACAGAGATGTGATTCTTGAAAAATGGTAGTATAAAGGGAGAAACAGTATATAGAAGAGCTTTTCTATAGTATTGAAGTGAAGTTGCCATTAGCGCCACTAGATTGTTAGAAATGCAAGATGTTAATTGTAAACCCCAGGGTAACAAGAAAACAATTTTAAAAGTATGGGAAGAATGAGAAAGAAATCAAAACAATACACTGGCAGGGGCGGGGTGGGCAGAGGAAGTCAAACACAAAAGATAGAAATGTAGAAAAAAATGGTAGCTTAGCAGAATTAAGTCTTCAAATGCAAATGCATCAACTATCCAATAAAAAGGTAAAGATTGGCTGCATAGGTGTTGCTTTAAAATCATGCTCCACAGGAATCTAGAAAACTTAAATAAGGGACCAGGAAAATGAATAACTATAAGAAAGTGAAAATCAAAATCAACAAAAAACTATGAACCAGAGACACTTTTTGGGGGGTGGAGGGCGGGAGGGGAGGGATTGGGGTCAGAATGGGGGGGTTGCAATTGTATGGGGAATATAAAAATAAAATTTATTATTTAAAAAAAATAAAGAGAACTGATCACTATAAAAAATAAAATAAAATAAAATAAAATAAAATCATGCTCCAAAGATACAAACAGGTGACAGAAAAATATAGTGCATGCAAATAACCAAAAAAAGAGCTGGGCCAGCTCTATTACTATCAGACAAAACGGATTATACATCAAAATAAAAAATCGCTACAAGAGACAAAGTAGGACCTTATACTCTAATACAAAGATCAGTCCAATTGTTACCAACAGCCTGCAATTTATCTTCAAACGTCCTTTCATCCATGAGTCTATGTAAAGGACATCCAGTCCCCATTCGGGTCCCCCATAGAGCTGGGAGTTGTGTCCACGCAGCTCACCACCTCCCTGGATCACAGGATCATAGATCTCTGGGTCCTCACAAGCACCAGCTGCCTTGCCACTTGAGGCCCCCCCATCTGCAGTGTATTCCCCCAGTGTATTGTTTTGATCCCTTTCTCATTTATTCTTCTGTACATTTTTAATTTTTTCTCTAGTGGTTACCCTGGAGTTTACAATTAACGTCTTATTGCATGCCACAGAGCCTTCCTGACCCTCTCCCTGCCCCCTACCCAGCTGCTGGCTGGGCAGAGCCTCCCTCCCCCCCCCACTCTTGCTATCAGGGTTCCGCTCAGGGACACCCTTGCTTCTGCCCACACTAATCTAGGAGCTCCTCCAGGGCAGGGAACACGCCATTAATTTCTGCATCTGCTGTGCCCGCCCTGTTACAGATAAGGGGCTCAGTGCCTCTTTGCCGGAGGAGGGAGGTTCTGGCACATCAGGAATGTCCAGGCCAGCCACATGACAGATCTGCCAGACCCATACAGGGTCCCCAGGAAGAAGCCCACAAACTGTGAAAGCCACCCCGCCGGTCCCTGCAGCCCTGCGCTGCCCATGGGCCACCCCCAGTGCCCTGCACAGCAGCCCCTCTGGAGACCTCCTCTCCCTGCCTGCCGCCCCACCCCACATCCGGGCTCCCTCTCCTGTCCCAAGCTCCCCCTCCTTCTGCCTGAGCCCCCCCATCCGGGCTTCAGTCTCTTCAACGGTGACACAGGCACGAAGACCCCCCTTCAGAGCCTTGCGCAGGAATTCAAGCACAGCAGGCGCCGGGGCAGGGTAACCCTAGCAGGGAAGCTGGTATTAGAATCTGTGAACAATTTTTTTCATGAGTGAAGAGGTTTGGATTCTCGGTCCATCTCTGCGCCAGTGTTCCCCGTCCTTGGCACCTGATGGGGGTGAGCAAGGCTGGACGGATGGCAGGAAGGACTGAGGGATGGAGGCGGGAGGGGGAATCTGTCACCCCTGCGTCCCACATGGGACACTCTGCGCTTGAGGACAGAACCGAAGTATCCTTGCAGACTCTCAAGTTCTCACCAGAAGCAGGATGCGAGAGCAAGGCGCAGGGCCGGGGCTAGCGCCGCTTCACCAAGGAATTGCCAGATGGCCAAGCGCCGGGCCTCTCTGCTCAGCATGCCCTTGGGGTAGGAGCACTGTCCCCTCGCCCCTGGGATTCCTCCTTCGGTCAGCCCAGAGACCATCTCGGAAGAGGCAGTGGGGAGAGGGGGACGGCCGCTCCGCTCCAGGGCTTCCCAGGAGGCCAGGGGAGGCGGGGGAGGAGGTGGATTCAGAATCTAATGTGGGCCAAGCTGAGGCTTGAGAAGTCAGCCAGAAAAAAGGGGAGACTGAACGCGCCAGGCAGGCAGACAGGGGTGTGTGGGGGGCGGGTGGGGGGCGGGCGGTGGGGAGAGAAGGGGAGAGAGAACTTGGGCCTTTCAGGGCAGGGAGTGGAGGAAGGAGGCAGGAGGGAGGCGGGCCAGGGTGGCAGCTGAAACAAGAGGGGCTTTGATTGAACCCCTGGCAGCTTTTTCTCCTCTCATCGACTATGCCAGGAGAGGAGGATTTTTATTCTCACTTCACAGAGGAGGAAACTGAGGCTCGGGAAAGCTGAAGAACGTGCCCATAGCCCTCCCACTTGTCAACAGTCAAGCCCAAGGTGATGTGTGGATTCTGGGGCCACAGGCTGCATAGCTGGTCAGTTCCCCTGAGCTGGGGCCTTTTTCAGGACCAAAGAAGTAACAGAAACGCACCTCCTGTGTTTGGGGGGGGGAGGGGCAGAGCCCGATTGCACCTGCAGACACCTGCCCCCAGCAGAAGCGGCTGGTCTGCGGGTGAGGTGGACCTGCATTCAGAGGGGGCAGGTGGGGGAGGGGACAGCAGGCCAGAGGCCGGCCTCAGAGGTGCCCTGAGGGAAGGCGCTCATGGGGGCCATGGCGGCTAGGGCCCCCCCACAGTCCCGCCTGCGGCCCGGGCCCTGACACACAGCAGCTCAGGGCATGTGTCTCCCCTTCTCTTTCTGGTCCTGGCTGCTTCTGATGGGCCTTTGAATAGACTCCCAGGCCAAGGGCTTAGAAAGGGGCTCATCTTGCCCCGCAGCCTGCCTTCTCGTATCCACAACACCAGCGCGCAAACACGCTGGTCCTGTGTGGCTCAAGACCATAGGACATGCTGCCCATTGGCCTCTGGGGGCCGTGAGGACATGAAGCCACTGGCTGAGCCCCCCATAGCACATGCCCCTACCGGTCCTAGGCCCTGGGGCCAGGCTGACCTGGCTCAGGGCCCACATTCCTGACTCCAGCTCTGGAGACCAGGCGCTCATTAGAGCCTCAGGCTGATCACAGGGAAGGGCTGAAGGTCACGGGCCAGTGTAGCCCTGGGAAGGAGGGGGCCAGGGCAGCACCTTGGCTTCTTCCCCATATTTCCCAGAAAGGGGGTTCCACCTGTGGCCACGTCAGGCTCCACTCGCTGCAGCCCAATCAGCCCTAAGGCCCTTCCTGGTCTGGCTTCAGCAAACCAGACAACTTCTTTCCTTTCCCCAAGGGCCTTCCCATGTTTGAGACTTTGCCCTTGAGGTCCCACTGCCCGGAATCCCTGGGGATTCAGAGATCTCTGTAAATAAATCATTTCTGCCCTGTACAGAGATTCAGTGAGAAAGGGAGGCCCCTTCTCACACTGGAGGGAGGAGCGCTACGCTGGACTTGGGAGAATCAGGGAAAATTTCACAGCTGGGTTTTGAAGCACAGACAGGAGTTTTCGTGAAGAAGGGACAATGAAGCATATGGATGCGAGAATATGGGATGAAGCAGTGTTATTCCTCATATAAAAAATTGAGGCCAGTGGGGTTTGGGGAGCACTTACCTGCTGTAAAATCACCATCCTGGGTCAAGAGCTTGGTGCCCGTCAGGCCAGATACAGTTCTGCACAGGAGAGACCATATAAAACCTCTGAGTGGGCCACCAGCAGCCTCGCACTGGCTGGGGTCCCCTGGGCTCCTCCCAAAGCCCCAGCTCCTCCTCCCCCCAGGGATTCCTCCCTGGCTTCTCCCCTGCTGGCTGCAGCCCAGCCCGCGTGACCTGACTCTTAGCCACCATTGCCAGCTCCACTGCCCAGAGCTGCTGAGATCTCCCCGCGGTCACTGTCATTCAGGGGCTCCCCGAGGGCTCCCGGGAAGTAACATAGCCAGCCCCTCCCCTAGACATCCGCACAGCAGGGCATGGTGAATTCCAGGACTAGGACTTCGTCTCTGGCCTTCCAGCTTAAGGCTGCCCCAGAGCGGGGGCAGCCAGGCCCAGGGAGGGGGTCGCAGGCCAAGCCCAGCCTGTCCGTGTCCTGCCCTGCCTAGCGCCCATCAAGAACACCCCTGCACTCCCTGTGAAAGGTTCAGTCTCGCTCTCCCTGTTTTCCTTCCGCACCCCTTCACTCAGCCTCTTCCCCGTTCTCACTGTTCCTGAAACGTGCCTGTCCGTCTCATACCTCCTGGCTTCCGTACGCCCTTGCCCCTCTGCCTGGAATTCTAACCAATAAATCCTATGCTTCGTGGCTCAGGGCAGTTGGTCCCTCCTCGAGGAAGCCTTCCATGACCACGTCCGGGCTGCCAGAGTGCCAGCGCTCCCCTCTACCTGGATCTCACCTTATGTGCTAGGCTGACTGATCAGGGTCTGACCCACCACTGCTCCCAACGTCAGGCGGTTGATCCAGGGCAGGGCGTGGGGCTCAGCCTCATCCAGCAAAGGACCAGGCCTAGAGACAGCTCAGGATGGGCTCATGGGACTGAGCCTGGAGATCCTAGCGGCCCCAGCCCATAGATCTCGACATGAGGCCCCCTCTCTGCCCCCATGATGAGCATCAATTTTTTACAAGGCCCATTCAGAGGCACCTGGCATTTGATCTTCTGCCCAAGACACCTGAGCCCTGACCCCTGGCCTGGAGCTCTGGGATACAGCGGGCACAGAGATGGAGACCTACTCCCTGTCTGGGTGTGTGTCAAGGAAGGGAATTCAATAAGGACACACAAGGCACCTGCCCTGGGGGGCTACGTCTGAAGAGGATGCCCGGCCGATGCCCAGCCAACTGTGCTGAGCCCTGCAGCTGAGCCACGAGGGCAGAGCCAAGGTTTTCATGAAAGATTTGGGGCTTTGGTGGAGGGGAGTGGTGAGAGTATAGAATTTAAGGGTCACACATAAGGAAAAAGCTACAAGATAGATGCCCCCCCCAAGAAAAACAATACTAACCCATGTTAATTGTTTTTCAAACTGACAGCAGAGAACACGGAACGGCATCTATGTTTCTGTGCCCATGCCTAATTCACCCCTTCTTATAACCTACTCTGTGGGGCTTCATAATTCCATTTCACAGATGGGAAAGTTGAGGCACAGAAGAAGGAAGTGATTTATCTGAGGAGAGAAATAAAGAATAAGATAAAGAGAGAGATTTTAAAAAGAAAAGAGTGTAGGAGAGAGACCAAAGAAAACAGGGACCGAGGACGTCCTCCGCCACCCCCAGCTAGCCAGCCCCCGGGCCAGCCCTGGTTGGAAACAATTCAGTGGACAATATGCCCCCGGCTCTTCCTTCTCCAGGGTGCAAACTTCCCTCTCTCCACGCCTGGGATAGATTCATTTGATGAGTGCTGTGACTGAGCCCCCAAAGGAGCAGGAGGCACATTCCAGGACCCAGTAAGTTACTATGGAGGCGGGGGCTCCAGGGTGACCCAAACTCCCAGCTCCACTGAAGTCTGGCAAGCCCTTATCCCAGGGCCCAGAGCCGCAGGCAGCCCCTCCTTACCTGGATCCCTGTTGGCCGCTCTCAGTTGCCCCCAGCCTGGGAGGGCTTGGCAAGGCAGGGTCTGGGGTCCAGGACAAGCTGCAGATGCATGTGCCCCCTTCTCTGTCTTGCTCCAAGTCTGAGTCTGGGGGTCTCTGGGTGACTCTGTATCTCCCTCTCAGTCTCTCCTTTTCTTTCCAGGCCAGGGCAGCTGTCTGGAGGCACTGCCGCCCTCCCTCCCCACTCCAGAGCCTTCCCCCAGGAGGCGGAGCCGGAGGGCCCTCCAAGGTCTGGGTGTCATGACATCAGCATGGCGGGCGGGCTGTGCGGGCTCCGTGTGAGTGCTGGCTGCTCTGCTGGCCAGGAGGCAGGGGCCTGGATGTCTCTGCTGTGCTGCTGACCAGCGAGGGCCCAGGGCCCAGCCCACCCATCCCGGCTTCAGCTGCCTGCAGCCATTACAGCAAGACGACCTGCTTTCCCAGCATCAATGCAGGAAACCTGGAGCTGAGCCTCACTTGGTCACTGATTTGCCGAGTCTCAGCTCCTGCCTGCCCTTCGCCCAGTTTCTCCACCATAAAATGGCCCTTTGAGACACAGGGCAGGTTTTCTGACCCAGCAGACTGGGTAAAGGAGGAGTCAGGGTCCTCAGTGGCTTTTGCAGGTCTTTTATTTAGATTTGCCAGGCATATGGCAGGCAGGGGTGCTGGGGGGCCGGGAGGCTGGCAGTCCTCCCAGCCCCCAGCAAGTCCTCACTCTATCTGGGCTCTCTCTGGCCTGCTCTCTGCTTCTCTTCTCTCGGCTTCCGTTCGTTCTTGGCTGCTTCTGGTGTCCCCGCGACGCCGCCCTTATAAACTCAGTCTCAGCCCAGGTGAATCCCATCTACCTCTGCCCACACCCTACTCCAGGTGCCGCCATCAGGCAGGCATTCAGGACAAGGATCCATCATCTATCCTGATGGCGGGAGGGCAGAAAAGCCTGACATTTTTCCTTACTCTACAGAGACTTTTTTTTTTAAAGGGGCATGTATTTTTATTTATTTATTTATTTGTTTGTTTGTACATGCACTGGGTACAGTCAGAAGCGCGGGAGGGTGAGAGAATTCACCAGAGCCAGAGCGGGGAGCAGAGCAGGCAGAAGGACAGAAGTACACTGCTGAGGGGAGCAGCGGGCGGCAGGAGAGGTCTGCGCGCCATGCGGGACCCTCCTCTGGTGGCCGGGGAGCAGCCGGGGATCGAACCGGCGCCACAGAGGCTGCGGGCAGCTTCGCAACCCAGCGCTCAACCGCTGCGCCACCAGGGAGGCCCACCCTACAGAGACTTTTGATGAAATGACTGGGCAGGGCAGGAGGTGGCCACCCCAGCATCTGACCCTTCCTCCCCTGTCCCTGTATGCACACCACCCTTGCCCGAAAGCACTTCCCGGAGGGTCCCCTCAGATGTGTCCCCTGAAATCCGTCACTTCCATGCAGTCTCCACAATCGGTTCTGGGGGTTAAGTGGGGAGTAGCGCATGTTGTTCTAGAATCATCCAGGAAACTCTCAAATCAGCCAATTTGAAGTAACCCTGCGCGTGCCAGGGAACTGTACAAACTGAAGTGAAATGTGTAGTTTGGAAGTGCAGTATTGGGGGGCAGATGGAGGAATAAATAAATCATGTACAATTAGCACTGGTGAAAACAATGACACTGTGGGCTTCTGGTAGAGACCCAGCACTTCCTCGTCACCGCGCTTTGCCAACAGGTGCCTGGCACAGGCCCTACTGGCACAGACCTCTCCAGAGAAGCTGTAGGCATGGGCCAGGGAGGCACTCTGTGGATCCTCACCCTGTGTCACATGGGACCCCTTGGCTGCCACCCAGACAGGGCAGGCCCAGCGGAGCCCAAAGGCCCAAGTTCTCCACCTGCTGGTCAGGCACCCCCTTCAGAGCAGAACTGAGCCTACAGCCTCTGCCAGGGGGAGCAGGTGGGAAGCCACAGTGCCAGAACACAGCCTCTGCTGGGGCCAGGGCCCCTCTGACCCGACTGTCCTGACCCCTGAAAACCTCTGGCTGCTGGAGTGTCTGGCCTGGTGGCTCTGACAGGCGGTGCTCCGACTCCATGTTCCCGCCTATTGCTGACGCTAGGGACACACCACTCCTTCCATCACCTCTCGCTGAGCCTCCCTGGCTGGGTGGGCAAGTGGCGCGGGCCCTACGCAGACAGGAAAACTGAGACCTGGAGAGGAACATGGTGCCCAAGGACGGGCATGGAGAGTCGGGAGAGCAGCAGGGTGGGCCGAGACCTACAGATGCTAGAGCAGCTATAATTTACTCAGCAGGAGAGACCAGGCGCTCCACTAACGTGTGCTCAGCTCTATTATGTCCTTTGGGAAAATCTAGGCACTGATCTTAATTTACTTGTTCTCCCTTAATCCCCACTCACACAATCATCACTGTACCCCCAAAATCTATCCCCGCCATCTCTCCCCATCGCCACCCCCAGTCTCCCTGGCTCAAGCTGCCAGCACCTGCTCCTCAACAGCCTTTGTTCGGGTCTCCCCATGGCCACCTGCACCCCCAGCGGCCCGTCTCCTCTCTCCACAGCCCTCTCTGGAGGAGGCTGTCTCCTCCATGTCACAGGAGGGTTGGGGTCAAGGCTTCCTCACCCCGGCAGGCTCAAGAGGCCCCGCAACTCCTCACTGCTTACCAGGGGTTCTCTAGGTAGCATTTTTCAGGATCCAAGTATTTCAATTTGTCTTCCCCACTAGTCTGCAGATGCCCCAGAGCAAAGCTGCGGCTGCTTCCCCACGACCCCACATCCCCAGTGCCCGGCACAGGGCCAGATGACAGACGGACTGATCCAGTGATCTTAGCTCACACAGGGCAGGCCAGTTCCTCCCTCACTCGTCTCTGACCCCTGGGCAGTCACCCAGGCCTGGGAAGTGCCCCTCCATCATCCCTTACCTCCAGAGGGACAGACAAACACAGGACGATCTTTCTGGGATTGTGGTAATGTTTATTTTGAGAATGGAGATTTCTACTCCCTGGCACCGATATTGTGGTGAACCCCAAAGGGAATGAAGCCCAGGTCAGGGCAGTGTGGACCAAAGGCCCTGCCCTTTGCCGATGGAGACCTGGATGCCCCTGTAGGCTGTAGGGTGCATCCAGCCACCAGAGCAAATGCCCACCTCCCCCCCCAAAACCCCTTCCAGTCAGAGCTTGAAAAAACTCCATCTTCACCTTCCCAGTCTCCAGGGCCTTCGGAGGACCAGGATCTCTGCACAGCCAGGAGCCAGCCTGGCCCACCCAGAGCACATACGCAAGGGCTGCCGAGCCAGGTCTGTTTGGGGGGGAGCAGTATCCAGCTTCCAGGCTGACGCCCACACAGGCCTGCTGGCCGGTCTGTCACAGTTCGCTCCGTAGCCCTGATGGACACGGCTACGGAAGAGCCCACATGACAGCCCAGAGGCCCCAGGCCAGCTTATCCAGCCCTCGCTGGCCGGTCTCAAGAGTCTTCATAGAAATCAACATTGCAAAGTGGTGCTTACATGAGCGTATACGGCGCATACACAGAGATACAGAGAAAGGGTATTATTTTGCCCTTGTCAGCACTGGTTACTAAGAGTGCCAACACGTGAGAAACATTACCCCGCTTTGCAAGAGGGGGAAATTGAGGCACAGGAGGTTTAAGTGACTTGCTCCTGGTCATGCACAGAGTCCCAGCCCCAGGCCCAGGTTCTCAAGGGGAAGTTCCAGATTTTCGGTAAGAGCCCTCTTGTTCTCCGGGGGCCCCAGGGCCACGCGGAGCAGAGCTGGCCCCGGAGTGAAGAGGCAAAGTCAAGAATCCAAAATCTCCACCCAGGAGTCACATTTGAAGCTGAAAATTCAGGTCCCCAAAAGGAATTCCTGTTCTTGAACCAAGTGGTTTTTTTCACTGATGCCGCCTGGCCCGGAGCTGACATGGGCACAGAAGGACCCCCGGCGGGGGAGGCACCGACACGCCAAGAACAAGGGTCCGAGCCCGCCTGCAAAGCACCCTTGTCTTCACTCTCCTCTGAGGAGTATGGCTTCTCCCACCTCAAGCAGAATCCAAATAAAACCAAAGAACCACAGAATGGCAGTTTAAGAAGAAAAAAATGGGGGTTCAGCCTTTCAGTTTTGCTGTAAAAACCAACTGTGTTTTAAAACAGAGACTAGAAAACGCTGAGGGTTGAAGGGAACGTTCCAATCTGGGCAGAAGAGGCCTGGGGCCTCCTGGGCTGCATTTTGGGCGGAGTATTGGTGGAGGGACCTCGGGTGGAGTGATGGATTTACCTACCCCTGGCCAAGGCCAATGGGGAACCCGGCACTGGTGAATCTGAGACCAGCACCTCAGCGTCAGTTCAACCAGGAAAAGCCCAGGTCTTGCAGCAGAGGGGAGGCTGGAGCACGCCCCTCTACCCGCTCAGCAGGACACACTCCTAGCTTCTGGGTGGTGGGGGCATGAAGATGTCCTTCCTCACCACCACTGTCCCCACCTCTGCAGAGGCCTTAAGCCAGGGGCTGGGAATGGCCTCAGAGGCTGGGAGAAGGCAGCTGCACCCTCCAGGCATCGGCCTCTGATGAGACCGGGGTGCAGAGGTGAGGCCTGGGGGATGAGGAGGGTCAACTCCACCTGGGGTCTGTGGGCATTGTTTATTTATTTGGCAAATCTGTCAGATAAATAAAAGCACAGGGTTAGAGAATGTGCAGAGAAATTCCAGGCTGAGCAGGAGCCCAGGAAGAGCAAGGAGTCCTATCAGGGTGGTTAGAAATCGGGTCTTTACCTGACAGAAAAAGCAAGGTCTGCGGCCCGGGGCAGCCCAAGATCGGAGGGGAAAAGTGGGCTTGGGAATGTGGCAGTTTGTGTGTAAACAAGTGACATCTCCTTGGCACATGGTCAGCAGACAGCAGGGCCTTGGGAAAACGTTTCAGGGATAGAGTCCCTTAGCAGTGGAGACAGCTGGGGTGGGGCGGGCTATTTTAAATCTCAGGTTAGAAAACTCCTCCATGAGAAGGGAATGTCCTTGGGACGCTGAGGCCCAGGGAGGTGTAGAGACCTCCCAAGGTCACACGGCAAGTCAGCAGAGGAGCTGGGAACAGGACCCTGGTGTCCTGGCTTCCAGATTAGTCTCTAGCCAGCCCGGGTGGGGACACAGATGGTGGTGAGAACTGTGGGCCCCGGCGGCAGGCAGGCATCAGATAGCTGTGAGGGAGGCGCTGCTGAGGACATGCACACCAACAGTGCCAGGCAGGTCACTGGGCTGCCGGCTGCGGTCTTGGAGGTGGAGGGTGTGGAGAGCCTGGAGGTCATCCGGGTCAGCTTTCAGGTGCACCTGGCCCAGAAACTCATCCTTCAGGACTCGGTGGTTCCAGATCTAGGAGGGGAGAGAGGACGGTGGAGGGGGCGTATCCAAGACCAGGAGTCCAGGTTCGTGGGGAGGCCCTGGGGGTAGCGGATCCCCAGCCTGCAGGACAAGCCCGGCTGAGGAAGGGAAACCTGCAGAGCCTCTGCCTCACCGTGAGCCTCAGACAAGGCCTTCTGGGGCTGTGAACTTCCTCTTATCTGTCCAGGCTCCCTTCCACATTTAAAGTTAAATCTGTTATTAGCAGCCCTGCATTGACCTTGGACAAGTGATTACAGGCCTCCCCAGCCCTGGCTTTCCCCATCTTTAAAACGAGGGTTGGATTAACGGCCCCTTAGGTTTCTTCTAGGCCCAACAGCTATGGACCAATCCAGGGGGGCCCAATGTTAAGAAAACTTGGAGACTCTACAGTGGCTCCCCCGGGGTACTTGTGTGTTTGTTTGCAGATGGCTTCTCACCCAGAGAGATGCTGGCCTAGGCCTGCGGGACAGACAGCTTCCTGTTAATGAGCTCAGAATTGTCAACCACCATCCCTTGGCCTGAGAGGGGAAGTAAGTCAGGGCCCCGGCCCCCGGCTTTCTGATCCCTGCTTTTGGGAATCAGCCTCCCTGCAATGCATCTCAGTGTAACCTGTCCGGGTGGACCCTCCCACAGGGGACCTTAGGGACAACGCCTAAAGCTCTGGGGGACATGGTCGGGAGAGATGGCCACTGCCCCTGGCCAGGAGACAGCCCTGCAGTGTCTCAGGGTCATCTGCCAATCCGACTCCCCCACCCAGGAGCCATCCCTCTTCCCAAGGCCACACTGCTAGGGTCAGAGTGAGCACCAGAACCCAGTGTTCCTGGGTCCCTGACAAAGGCTCTGCCATCCTGGTCCTGCCCCTCTGATTGGGGGCCCCGGAGTGGCCCTGGGGCGAGTGGGCTCACCTGCACAGTGATGGGCTGGCCTGGCTTCTTGCGGTAGAAGACGCCCTTCACGTTGTACTCAGGTGTTGAGGAGCCTTTTTGCACAGCCGAGCGGACTTTGTCTCCCTCACACTTGATGATCACATAAGAGTTAGCCCCTAGAGAAGGAGAGTGGGCCATGGGGTAAAGGTGGGGGCTGGGGTAGAGTAAGATGGGACAGATTCTGGGAGCTGAGACCCCCACCCCCATCCTCTAGAGCAGACACCTGTGCTCATGCATCCAGGGAAAGGGAGACTAGAGCCTGAGGCACTGCCGAACTTCCAGAGACAGAAGGTAGACTCTGCTGGTCCTCCAGGCCTTTCCCCAGGTGGTTGCCCCTGCCAAGAGCACCCTTGTGCTCTCCTCTTCACCAGGCTTCACACTTAGCACCTCCTCAGTCTGCAGAAAGGCCACCTCTTCCAGGAAGCCTTCCCCGAGCCCTCCCTCCCAGCTGTCTGTTCTTGTGCCTGACTGCCCCACCATGCTGGGAGCCAAGTGCAGCGGTAGAGCCTGTCCCTCTATAGGCACTAGCTTCCTCCTGGACTGGACTGCGTGGACCTCAAGAAATGATTGCTCATTCCATGGGTGAGAGCAGGAGAGCTCTGGAAGCCAGTGTCTGCAGCTGGGTAGGGAGGTAAAGGTGAGGGTCTCACCGGTCGGGGAGTCCTTGAGACCAGCAGCCCCCAGGACATGGACCTGGGTGACCAGCTGGGGGTAGCCACATAGGGAGCTCCAGCAGGTTCGGGGGGGCTCGTCCAGGCGCAGCTCCCTGGTAAAGGGCACAGGTAAATGGGGGGCCAGGAAGAGGGAAGGTGAGGGGGTTCGAGAAATAGGGAAGGGACAGGAGCAGCACTTAGTCCCAATGGTGCTTGTCCTAGGTAAGCCCCACAACAGTGTCCACCATCCACCCCCACGCATTCTGCTGCTCTTTCCTGACCCGAGGCTGCCTCATCCCCCGAGGAAAGTACTTTGCTGAGCACCTACTGTGTGCCAAGCCTTCTGCTGGGATGCTGTATGATTTCTAATCCTCACACAGCCGTGGGCAATACGTGACTATCATGCCTGTGTTTTACAGGCTAGGAAGCACCAGGCCCACAGGGGAAGGGCTTTGCCGAGCTGGAGAGCAGTGGAGCCCAGACTGGGCAGACGAAGCCCACACACAGCTGCCTCTGTGGTCTGGATGTGGGCAGGGAGCACGGAATCTGAACCACCTGCCCCAGTGGGCAGGGCAGGGAGGCCCACACGGGGTCTGCCCCCTGCAAGGGCGGATGGGCAGGTCTCAGCAGTCCAGCCCCTTGGGACAGGGGGTTGGGGGGATTAGACTTCAAGCCCAGAATCAGGCAGGCTGAGTGGCCAAGGCCGACTCTGCCAGCAGCTGCATGACCTTGGACAACACCCAGCCTCAATCTCCAATTCTCATCAGTTAAACAGAGGGGTCAGGCCTCCTGCTGAGGGGTACAGGAAAGCCTGTGAAAGCATCTTGTAAACTGTGAAGTGCTATGTGCACATGAGCTCAGTTGTGGCTGAGGTCGGTGGGGACAGCGGAGCAGGGAGGACAGAGAGATGGGTGCTGGTGTCAGCTCAAGGAGGTAGAACCCAGACATCACTGGGCTGCAGATCTGGTGGCCCCACTGACCCCTGCTGCCCGTCAGCCCCGCTCACCGGCAGTTGGAGGGCACATCAGTGAAGACCCGGAGCAGGAATTCGCCAGGGTGGCCAGGCTCGAAGGTGGTGGGGATGATGACGTAGCGGCCCTCGGGCTGGTCCGTGCGCAGGAAGACGCTGCGGGAGTTGATGTAGATGGAGCTGGCGACCCTGTGCTGCAGGCTGTGCATGCGGTACTGCCGGTTCTCCTCCACCTGCCGGAGAGGCCGGGCTGGGCCACCAGAGCACCCCAGCCCCACGCCCACGTCCCCTTGCCAAGTGAATAGAATTCACTCACATGAAATGCCCAGGGTAGGCAAATCCAGAGACAGAAGCAGATGGGTGTTGGCTTAGGGCTGTGGGGAGGGGGTGGATGGAATTGGGTGGTGATGGCTAAAGGGGCCAGGTTTCTTTTTGGGGTGATGGAAATGTCCTGAAATTGATTATGTCAGTGGCGGCACCGTATTCTGCAAATACACTAAAAGCCACTGTATACCTTACATGGCTGACCTGAATGGAACGTGAATTCTAGCTCAGTAAAGTTGTTAAGGTTGGGGGGGACAACCAACTGCCTTGGTTAGCAGCACCCGTGGGGGCTGTCATGACAGAACCTATTATCACAAGTCAGAGCACGTGTCCATAAGCGCCCCTGCTGCCAGGGCATGCTGGACAACCCAGAACACGCACTGCGCTGGGCTGCAGTCACGTCAGGGAAGGTGATGACGTATCAGTTGTAACATGTCAGCACAGTGTGAACAGTTACACAGTGGCACGAGCAAACTGTCATGATATAAGCATGTCAGAGGCCCGGGCCAGCTCACACCACACGCCTGTGCCTTTCATTAGGCTCTCACTGTCCGAGGGGGACCAGGTGTCCACTGTGCTGAACTCACACCCACTGGGTATCACACACGTGCAAGGTCAGGGGGAGCAGCCGGGGTGAGCCTGCCTGGCTCTCCCAGTGCCCAGTGAGGCCTTCAACTCAGGGAGGCCTGGGGCTCTGAGGGAGGGAGCAGTGGAGGCCTCCCAGAGCCCAGCCTAACCACCAGAAGTCCTCCTCTTGCTCCCCCCCACCAAACAACCCAGGCCTAAAGGTCAGAGGCAAGAAGAAATCGGGCACAGCACCAATCTCCAAGCAGTCTGGGCCTTCTGGGTATTCCAAACTGCATCCCTGAGACATCAGCCAATGTGGCCAGGATGAGGGGGTGCAATCATCACCAGGGTATTCGAGAATACTTATTCCAGGCCCAGGCAGCTCCTGAGCTCCTCCCCAGAGCAGTGGGGTGGGGAGCTGATCTCACCTTGTAGATGTCAAAGCCAATGGCCAGGTTTTCACCTTTGCCCCCCCGACGGGTAGACTGTTTTGGCCGCTGCTGGATGCAGATCAGCACTTCATCTTCTGGCTTCTTGACATCAAAGATGTACTACAGGTATGGCCGAGGGAGACAGATGACAACGAAACCATGTCAAAGATGGACTCACTGGATCCTGAAAGCCAGAGGCATGGTCCAGAGCCAGGCCTCAGTGCAGTCACTTCCAAGCTGTGTGAGCTGGGACAAGCCACATCCCTGTCTGAGCCTCAGCCCCTCACCCGTGAGGGAGGCCCACAGTGCGTGAGGGGTAGGAGGACACTGGGCTCTGAGCTTGGCATGGCCACTGCTCAGTGAAGGCATGCCAGGGTGAGGACAAAGCAGTTACCGGAAGCTGCCAGGCAGAGGGCCCTGTGGGGAAGCCAGTCTGTCTAAGTTCCCCTGGACAGAGCAGCTGTGTGTGGTGTGGATACAAGGTCTTTGAGCCCCCCACTCAGCTTCTAAATGTCCATATAACTTTGGATAAGACACGCAAGAGTTCCCAGAGTCTCAGCTTCCTCATTTTTCCCATCCAGGTCAGACTCTGAGGCTGGGTCCCACGTGACCACACGGACGAACTGATTTGACCACCCAAGTGCCACTGCACTGAGGGATGCGCTGAGGGGACAGGGAAGTACCCAAGGTCATGCAGGTCACCACAGCAGGACAGAGGGGGGGCCCCATGAAGGCCTACCTGTGGGTTCTGGAAGAAGGTGTCCTTGTGGTTGATGCAGCCCCCGCTGCGGTTCTGCCGCGGGTCCTCGTGTTGCGTCCAGGCACCATGCAGCCGGGCCTCCTCCCACGTCTTGTGGATGCTCAGGTAGGACGTGTTCATCAGGCGGCACTTGATGATGTCGGTGAAGTATCGGCACACGTCCTCGAAGGTCATCCTGGGCATGGTGAGGGGCTGAGCTGGGAAGGCCCCCTACAGGTGCCCCCTCCCGCCCTGAATGCTCTGAGGGTGGACACACGATGTCATGTGGATGCTTCGCCAAGTATCTTTTAGCCTCAGTTTCCTGATTTGTAAAATGGCAATAAATCTCACAACAGTATCTCACAACAGTATTGCAATGGGAACACGTAGTACAACTTCCAGCAGACAGAAGCAGCTGGTACAGGCTCGCTGTTAAAATTAATAGTATAAATAACTCGGGCCTCCCTGGTGGTGCAAGGGTTTGGGCGCAGAGCTATGGAGCTGTCCGCAGCCACTGCAGCACGAGTTTAATCCCCAGCCAGCCAGGGAGCTACCCACATGGCGCGCAGACCTCTCCTGACTCGCCCGCTGCTCCCCTCAGCAGTGTGTTTCATCAGTCTGCCTGTTCTGTTCCCCACTCTGTCTCTGGTGAATCCTCTCACCCCCCACACTTCTGGCCTGTGCCCCAGTTCTTGTATGCATAAATAAATAAATATTTAAAAAAATTTTAAAAATAGTATAAGTAACTCGTTTCTACATAAAGCAGTTTCCCTCCATGAACTTCCCGCAGTGGCGGGGACACACACCACCAGAAGCCTGGGCAGGGAGGGGGGGTGCCCCCTTCAAGTGTGCACATGTATGAGAGCGGCACACACACGCGTGAGTGTGCCATGTAAGAAAGGCCTCAGGAAGACGCCCTTTCTACTGATAAGGGTTTTCTATTCTTTGCTTGGCCCTGAGTCACACTGGGCAAAAGGATCTCACCCACAGGAGTCCAGACCAGAGGGCCTGGGGCCTCCTGCTGCAGCTCCCTGACACCCGCAGGAGGGCACCTGCGTAGGGGATCCATATCACTGCCACCTGCCTCTGGCTCTGCCTGGGGCCCTCATGGCACCCACCAGACACTGGGCCCAGGAACTCTCCAGGAAGTGGCTGAGTGTCTGAATCAAGTGCCTTGCTGAAGAACAACACTAAATCTTACTTGGGACTAACGGCAGGCTGGATGGGTGCCGGAGGGAGAGAATGCCAGGGGGAATGAATGCAGGCTGGATGGGTGCAGGAATGATGATTGGGCTCTTTAAGGGAGGCTGCTACCATCTTCCAGCCCCACCCATCCACGTACCCCTCAGCAGCTCTCACCTCCCTGACCTCACTCTTCCCACACCCAGGTGTTCCCTTTTGCCTCTGGGAGGGGGCCCTCTCCTTGTTCCTCATACCCTGAGCCTCAGTGTAGGAGGTGGTCCCTCCCTGAGGCCCCTCCTCTCCCTCCTGCCCTGCGCAGCCTGGCTGCCAGCATCCCCCACCTGCTGGCATCATGCTCTACTTGCCGATGCCAGAGCAGCCCAGGCTCCCCTCAGGTGGGGAAGGGGACTATGCAGATGAAAGTAAAATGAAAAGGACCATCATTGCTCAGCTCATTTTACAGAAGAGGAAACTGAGGCTCAGAGAAATGGCGTGATTTGTTCACAGTGCAACAAGTGGGGCGTCTGCAACAGTCCTGGCTCCCACCTCCAAAGCAGCACTCCCGGGCCCACACTCAGGAAGCTTCCCCCTCAGCCTGGATGCCCACCCAGGGCCATGAACACACTCACCAGAATTCGCCATCATCCTGCACTGTCACCCCCATCTTCTCTCGCTCACTCTTGCTCACTTTCTGCCACTCCTCAGAACTGGGTGTGAGCACAGGGGAGGAAAGAGAGGAATATAAGATGAGTGGCCCCTCCAGGCCCACACGGCAGGGGCGAGGAGGTGCGAGGGACAGTTCAGCCCAGGACTCCATCAGTGTGGGTATGGTTGGGGCCCTGTCCGCCCACCCTCACTGCAGAGGGCATCCTCATGAGGGGCCTGGACCCTGCTCACCTGGGCCATGAGCCAAGCATAGAGCAGTCACCCCCATTCTCAAGCCTGCTGCGCTCCCTGCTCATTCCCCAGACTGGTCTCTGTGTCCCCTACAGGAGTAAGCACATCCCCACTGCCAGGCCTTTACTTGAACTTAATTCACCTCTCCTGTCCCCACTCCAAATTAGGTCTCCTCCTAATTTTCCCTCCCAAATCCATCAAAAGCCAGCCCCAGTGACACCTCCTCCAGGAAGCCCACCCATGTTTTTGCCCAAGCCCTCCAACCAGAGTCCACATGCTTGAGATCTACTTGGCACCTATGACCCTCCCCCAGAGCCTCACGTGTCGCTCCAGGGCCCGTTCCACTCCCGCTCGCCCCAGGGATTGCGCAGGCGGATCATGTCCAGCTTCTCAGACTTGAAGAAAGCCAAGAGGCCGTGGCCCAGGCGCACCTTGCGCACATCAGTGATGGCATACGCGTGGCCCTTCACCAGACCACATGCCAGACGGGCCTCCATGTCAGCCGCTGTCACTGCCTAGGGGAGGACACAGTTAGTGGATTAGAGAAGTGGAGGCGGTAGGCTCCTACATGCTGGAGCCAGAGTGTCACACACCTCCTACAGGACAGGGAGGGAACAGCAGTCAGTGTTCTGAGCCAGTGAGGAACTGAGCTCAGTGTTCACAAAGCCCCAGGGCCTCCCCTGGTGGCGCAGCGTTTGAGCGCTGGTCTGCAAAGCTGCCCGCAGCCTGTGCAGCGCTGGTTCCATTTCTGGCCAGCCAGGGAGGGTCTCACATGGCGCACAGACCTCTCCTGCTGCCTGCTACTCACCTCAGCAGTGTATTTCGTCAGTCTGCCTGTTCTGTTCCCCGCTCTGGCTCTGGTGAATCCTCTCACCCTCCCGTGCTTCTGACTATACCCAGTGCTTGCATAAAATAAATAAATAAATAAACCTTTAAAAAAAAAAAAAAAAAGGCCCAGGCAACAGTGTGGGGTGAAGGAAGCGACCTGCAGAGGGTCAGCCCAGGGCTGTGTTGGAATTGACCAGCATTGGCTCAGAGATTGTTAAATGTTCAGGAATTTTGCAAGCTAGCTGTTAAAGTGTTGGTAGCTTGAAATCAACCATGGTGGGAGGATTTACACCACAGAAATCAGCAAATGCAACAAATCAGGGCTTTTCATTTTTCCAGAGAGCCAGTTTATTAACATCCCACTGAGTTAGTCAAACCTGGGTTAAAATTCTATCATCTCTGAGACCCAGATTCCCCATCTGAATCAGGAGCAGTCAGAGAAATAAGGCAACCTTCCCAAGGCACCCAGTCCTGTACTGGCACCCCACAGGGGCTGCCTCCCCTCTTCTGACTGCCCCTCTGCTTGCAATGCCTCAACCCTAGGTTGAGGGATCCTCAGATGCTTAGACAACCACCATGCCTATATAAGAGCACCAGAAAAGGGGGATGCTGCTTGAACAGTGCAGGCACTGCACAGTGTAAGGGACTGGGGTAGGGGAGGTGTGGCTTGTGTTGCCCTGCACTGGGGAGGGGGCTGGCTGTACCTTGCAACTTCTTCCCTTCTCCCATGAGGCTGAGGGTCTGGATTCGTGAGCTAACCTGGGCAGGGGCTCCATCTGGGATACCACCCCACCTCCCACCCCGACAGGGGTTAACCAAGGGGAAAGAGCCTGGACTGATGTTCTCACCTTGATGGAGGCACTGATGAGGCCTCCCCGGCTGTGCACCTTTAACACTCGTTCAAAGAGCTGGTTCCTCTTGGCCTCATCATTGGCGAAGTCACCCTCAGTCAGGTCGATGGGCTCAGAAACGCCACCTGTGAAGTCCACCAGCGCATCCGCTGTGTTGCCTCCATCCAGGGCCTGATAGCAACCCGCCAGCCTGGGGGGGACACGGAAAAAGTTCCCAGCTTATGCTCCCAGACAGTCACAATCCTTCACCTTGCAGGGAATGAGCTCTGAGACTTAGAGAGGTGGAGCAAACTACTAAGGCCACAGCAGGCCACGGCAGAGTCAACGCTAGAACCCAGTCTCCAGCTCCCGAGACAATGCTTGTCCCACTGAACCACATGATTTCATCACTCAAATTCCCCCTAGCCTTAGCAGCCCTGTCTTCAAAAATTCGCTGTCCAGAAATCGAGCAATTCTTGTCAAAAGCAATAAATGTTCATGTATCCTTTGACACATCAATTCTGGATGAGTGGCATTGCTCATCGCAATGTAAAACAAGGAACAACGAAAATGTCATGTGAGAGCAAAGCTGAATTTCTTGTCTGACACATCAGGCAGCCACTGAACCCAGCACTGAATTGCTATGGCAGGGAAAATGCCAGTTCTGGCTTGTTACATTGGAAACTGTTATGTTCATAATGTATGCAATCAGTCATACAGAGAATGGTAAGCATCTACAGCAATATGCCGGGTGCTGTAGACGCAGCTGCAGCTCCCAGGAAAAGACCTGGGGTCTTACAGGCCCAGTGCTGCATGTAAGCCTGGAAGCAGAGCAGGATACTTAACACAGCACGACATACATAAACTGAAAATGGATACCATTAAATGTGGCTATATATATATGCATAAAGAATGAAATTTTGATATATGCTGCAATATACATGGACTCTGAAGACATTAAACTAATTGAAATAAGGTGGACACACAAGGGTAATATTGCATGGTTTCACTTACGTGATTTACCTGGAATCGGCGAGTTCATAGAGACAAAAAGCAGAATAGAGGATCCCGGGAGTAGGGGAGGGGGAGAGAGGAACTGCTGTCTAGTGGTACAGAGTTGATGCTGGGGATGATGAACAAGTGCTGGGTATATAGATAGGGTGGCAGGTGCACAGCATCATAAAAGTAATTCCAGTAACTGATGCATGCACTTGGACAGGGTTAACCTGCTAAATATTGTATTTCACCATCACAACAACAACAAACCAATAAAAGTGTTCCTTAAAAAACAAAAACAATCCCCCAAAGTCCTTAGTTCTGGAGCTGGAAAAGAGGCCGGCGCCTAGGGCCCTGAGCTCAGTGGCCACCAGGGGGCGCATTTTGCTTTCTTAGGATTCTAATTCATGGAGCGTTTTCTTGAGTTTTTGGGAGTTTTTCTCCCCCTCTGTTTCTCTGTATTTCTGTCTCTGTCTGTCTGTCTGTCTGTCTGTCTCTCTCTCTCTCTCACACACACACACACACACTAAGGACACTGACACACAGGCCTGGAAGAGGAACCAGGACGAGGATCCACAGGGCTGGGGGGCTGGGCTCAACCCACTGACTCCCTGCCCCACACCTGCTCTGCCTTGCAGGGGCCTGGGCAGACCACGCCGCCTCATATCCCTCCGCAGCTCAGCAAACCTTTGTGCTGGTGCTGGGGACCCAGAGTCTGGCAAAGGGCAGGAAGACATTCACCCAGACAGAATGGATGGACAGTCAGACAGGAAGACAGATGGACAGATGGAGGATGGGAAGCCTGGGAGGCAAGAAAGGCAGTTACTTGGCCCATCCGCCTCAACCTGCCCAAGAGCAGAGGCCATAGCCCCAGCCAGGCTCCAGGGTGGGCTCAGTAGCTTGAATCTCTGGGCAGCATCACCAACCTGCACGTGAGAGCTGGCCCTGGCCCAGGCCCCCTGCAGGATACCTGCCTGGGCCTGAGTCTTCACAGGCAGAAGTGTGTGCTGGGCAGAGAGCAGTGGTTGCTATATATATACCCAGCACCTCTCTGTATGGGTGACTGTGGGGACTTGAAACCAGGTACCCAGAGGCTTCTACCCCACACGGTGTACACTCAGCTGTGCTCTGGGTGCTCAGGCTCTGAGCACGCTGTGTGACTTTGCACCAGCCCCTCACCTCTCTGCCTGGACCGCTCGCCAGAAACACCCATGTGGAGCCCATCAGCAATGCTGCCCCAGCCTGGCACCCGCCCAGCTGCCCACTGCCGGCACCTACTTGGCATAGGCCTTCTCCACCAGAGCACACCAGAACTCATTGCGAGAGTTGGAATGGCAGTAGATGAGCTGGTTGTTGACCGTGGGCAGCCGGTCGTCGATGACCACGTCCACCCACTCCCCGAAGCGCCAGAAGTGGAAGTGGAAGATGCCTACATAGGCTTCGGGCTTCTCAGGATCCCACTCCTGCTCCTTCCAGTCTGGGATGACCTGGATGGGGAGGGAGGAAAGGATGAGGAGGGTCAGATCTGGATTCCAGAGGAAATGGGGGTGCATGCCTCCAGGGCACCCAAGTGGAAGGAATACTGGGTTCAGTCTCTGTCTCCACCATAAACCAATATGGGATTTGGCCATATTCTTCTCATCTCTGGACCTCAGATTCCCCGTCTCTGCAGTGGTTGGAGGCTCCCTTAGACTCCTTCCAGCTCTGTGATGTGAAGGTTCAAAGCACTTACCCTGTTCCTCAGAAATGCACCTGTCCATCCCAATTCCCACCTGGAGAATGGTGCCACCATCCCACAGTCCAGCCTGAGCCAGATGCTGGGCCACGCTGGCCTCCTCCCATACCTTCTCCAGTCAGTGAGGCCCATCCAAGCTCCTACATTCTGCTCAATCTGTCTGCTCCTCTCTACCTCTCTGGTACCACCCTGGCCCAGGGCCCCATCTCCTTGCCCTTGGACACTGTAACAGCATCAGCAGCCACATCTGCCCTCACCCCTCACAGCAGCTGAATGATCTTTCTGAACAGCTCTCTTTCCTGGAAATAAGGGTCAAATTCTTAATGTGCTCCAGCCTCCTCCCACCACCCAGGCTCATTTCTCTACTCCTACCCTCTCCCCCAGCCCAGCCCCAGACACTGCTCTGGGCTCTTCCTCCAGCTGACTCTCACTTGTCCTTTAGGGTCCATTCTTCTCCTCCTCCAGGAAGTCCTCCTTGACTTTTTGAAGGAGGCCAGGTCCTTTGTCCATCAATCATGGCCCCTAGACCCTCCCCACTAAGATACTTATCCTAGTTATAACTAAACTAGTGTGTGACATTGCCTTCAATTCTGACACTGTCACTGAAATGTCAGCTCTCGGAGGGCAGGGACACATCTGTCTTGGTCATGCTGTACATCCAGCACCTAGCACATGGCCAGGCCCAGAGGCAGTGCTTAATAGACATGTGTGCACTGAATGAATAAATTCAGAGGCATTGGCTGGGACTCTAATAACATTGGTTATTTGTGGGTGATGTTAATTATATTGGAAATGCCAGGTATCATGCCTGTGAATGCCGGGCATGGTCTATTTATTTAATTCCCACAATAACCTCTTGAGTAGATTACAATCACTCATCCTGATTTTACAAATGAAGAAAAAATGAGGCTCAGAGAGAGCAAGTAACTTGTCAGGATGACAATACACACCCTCTTTGGAGGCAGGCAAACTTGGTTTGAAGCCAGGATCCAAACAATGAGGTCTGGATAGTGAGGCTCACTCTGCCTGGCCCCAGTCCTTGGGAGGCCCCCAGTCTGGTGGGAGGGGGAGGCACACAGACAAGTATGATGTTGGGAGCACCAACACAGTGGAGAGAAGGGAATGGAGGCCCCCACCCTGGAGGGCCAGCAGCAGCTTCCGAGCAGGTATTCTGAGAGCTGGCCTCGGTGTGCCTAAACAGATGAAGGAAGACTGGCAAGCTGGGCAGCAGGCAGTGGGCAAGGAAGAGCCAAGTCTGGGTCACCTGCTGGCCTTGTAAGCATGAGACCAAGAGGGATTGAGTTTCATAGAGACCACAGGCAGCTCCTTCTGGAAGAAAAGCAGGGCTGCATCCAGCCGAGGAGCCACAGCCTCATCAGGAGTCTATAAATCCCAAGGCCCGGACCAGCCCGAGCACAGAGACTTCAGCCAAAAGCCATTCCCCAACCCCCACACTCATTAAAGATGCTTTTGTTTACAGCCTCTTGCCATCAACAGGGATGCTGGCAAAGAGAAACGCTCCCTAACGGGGCATTGGAGACCGCAAGGATGAAAATGCTCAGCACTCAGCACAGTAAGAGGCGCTGCCCTGGCGAGTGCAGCTGTGCTGGGGCCCGGCAGGCTGACTGTCTCCTCTGCTGCCCAACCCTCGCTGCTCTCCTTCGAGGCATTAAAAACAGGATACTCCAGCTGGCAAGAGGCTGCCCTGGGCATGGGTGAGGGAGGGAGAACTCACTCTCAGAGCTGCAGAGTCTGGCACTGCTGGACCCAACGTTCCGGCTCCCCACTGGCTACGCTCCCCGCCTCTGGCCTCCCTTTTCAGTCAACTCTGTTGAGCCTAGTGAAATCTCCCTGGCCACCTCTGCCCAAACCACCAGCGATCTCCCCCACTTTGCCTTTGGGACAGAAGGCTGTGTCAAGAATCTGGCATCCCCCTACCGCATGGCTGGGAAGGCTGAGGTCCACGGGGGTGCAGGGAGGCCCAGAGTGTGGGCACTCAAAAATGAGCTCACGGGCCTGTACACCATCCTCCACTCCTCCCTGCTCTGAAAGCTCTGGATTGAATCTGGGAGACGTGGGGGCCGGGAGGGTGGAAGAGGAGCCTCGAAGGGCACAGGGAGGTGCTGCTGGGGCCACGGGAGAATCATTAGCCTAACCCAAGCTTTGGCTCTGAGTCCTCTGTGGCTCAAGAAGCACCTAATGAGGCTCCAGAGTCAGTGATCCCGGGGGGGTCTTCATTTCCCCCCCTGCATTCACGGCATCGGACCTGGCTGTGGGACCCGGGCTGGAGCGAGGTGCCAAGCAAGAGGGAGACGGTCCTGGAAGGGGTGCTCACACAGGCATACACTAAAATCCACCTCAGAAGCCCAGGGAGCAAACAGAGATGCCTGGAGTCCCATCAAAGGATTCAGGAAACACCCTGAAGAGGTGCCCACTGGCCAAAGAAGGGTCAATCGATGAGGATAACCAAGACGGAGGATAACACATCCCATTTGTTCAAACCCATGAGCTCACAATGGTCCTTACACAAACAAATCATCACAGTCATCACTGGAGCTTGGCAGGGCGTCAGCTCATTATTTTGGTAGAATTAAGGGAAAAATCAAGGATGGATCCTGCCAATATAAGCTGTATCGGGGAGTAGCCAATAGCAGAAGAAAGGACATTTATCTCTGCAGATGAATTCCAGCTAGTAAATGAGGAAGAGATTAGAATATTAGATCACTACTGCTTTGCAACCACTGAAAAGTAGTGGACTCAGGTGACCGCAGCTTCTCAAATCAGTTTAGGATCCGGGATGGCTTCTAACCTCATTAAGAGGAATAAGCAGACTTTATGTGTCTCCTGAGAGAAGGACACAATTTTTGGCATGAAATGGTCATGTCAAAAAAGGAGTGTACAAGCCTTCTTAAGTCTCCAGAGGAAAGCTATCACTCACAAGAAATGCAGGACATGGGGAACATGTTAAATGACACCATAAAAATGAAGCCAGCCAGTCCAGAGTGTCAGAAATGCCACAGAACATATAACTGGATTTTTCAGCAAGGGCATTCCCAGGGAAAAATAACAGAGGAAGAGGGAACCAATCAGTTGTCATTTTTTACTTTTTTTAAAAAAAGATATATTTATTTATGCATACAAGAACGGGGCTGTCAGCCAGAAGTGGGCGGGGGGGGGGGCGCGGGTACGAGGACTCACCAGAGACTGAGTGGGGAGCAGAGCAGGTGGATCTACTGAAATACACTGCTGAAGGGAGCAGCGGGTGAGACAGGAGAGGTCTGCTGTGCCATGTGGATTAGATCAAAAGCGTGCTACAGAGGCTGCGGATAGCCCCATAGGGCTGAGACTTAATCCCTTGCGCCACCATGGAGGCCCCAATTTTTGACTTTTGGAACTGATTCAAACAAACTCTAACATACATCTTTATGGACAAGATTTCAATATTTTAGGTATTAATGAATTACAATAAAATTATTAGAGTTGAGGGGCCTCCCTGGTGGCGCAGGCGGTTAGGCACCACACTGTGAAGCTGTCCGCAGCTTCTGCAGCGCGGGTTCGATCCCAGCTGGCCAGCAAGAATTCCACATGGCACAGCAGACCTCTCCTGTCTCACCCGCTGCTCCCCTCAGCAGTGTGTTTCGTCAGTCTGCCTGTTCTGTTCCCCACTCTGTCTCTGGTGAATCCTCTCCCCCTCCCGCGCATCTGGCCTGTACCCCAGCACTTGTATAAATAAAAAATAAATCTTAAAAAAAAATTATTTGAGGGCCTCCCCGGTGGCGCGGCGGTTGAACACTGGGTTGCGAAGCTGCCCTCAGCCTCTGCAGCGCCGGTTTGATCCCCGGCTGCCGGGAGAGGGTCCCACATGGCGCGCACACCTCTCCTGCCGCCCGCTGCTCCCCTCAGCAGTGTATTTCGTTAGTCTGCCTGTTCTGCTCTCCCCTCTGGCTCTGGTGAATTCTCTCACCCTCCCACGCTTCTGACTGTGCCCAGTGCTTGTATAAATAAATAAATAAATCTTTAAAAAAAAAATCATCTATCCTTAAAAAAAAAAATTATTTGAGTTGTGGTATGATATTATGGTTAGTGGTTTCTTACTTTTTTTCTAACGAGTCCTTATCATTCAGAGAACCATCCAGAAAATATTTACACATGAAATTAGATGCTGGCTGGGAGGGCAGAGGAGGAGAAGGGCTGTGGCTTGACAATTGTTGAAGCAGAGAGAGGTACGGGAGCTAACTGGGTCCTGTCCTCCTCTCCTGTCTTCTACAGTGACATGCTCCACCAACACAGACACCAGCTCCCTGTCCCACGATTCAAAATCCTGCAGGCAGCCCTGAGGGTGCTCTCAGCCTCGTTCTGTAGGCTCTGTGCAAATCCACACCCTGGCTGCTTCGGGGCACCTCAGCTATGCAATGTGTGGCTCCCTCTGCGGGCACCTATGCTAATCCTGGTCCCCCAGGGGCTCTGGACCCAGTGCTCCCTTGGACACCATCCCTCCTCCAGGCTCCTTCCCTGCTCACTGAGGGGTTGGGGGCAGGGCCATGTCCCACTCACACCTAGATGCCCAGCACCCAACACAGGGCTCTGTAGATGAGAGGAAATCCCCAAGCACTGGCCACAGTGAGCCTCTAGTGGGCACCTGGAGCCATCTGAAGGTTTTCCCTGGGGACTCCAACCTAGACCCAAGAGCCCCAAATGTGGCTGGGGCAGGGTTCTGCCCTGGTGCATGATGAGAGGAGAGGCTGGAAAGGGCAGGCGGCACTGCTTAGAAGTGGTGTGTCAGTAGGTGTGTGCATGTGAATTACACAAGCGTGTGCACATCAGTGTATGTGTACGTAGTGTGTGGGGTGCACTTAGTGCAGAGAAAGGCATCTTGCACAGATTTCTGCCTAGGACCCCAAAGAGCCAGCTGGGAGCTTTCTGCGTAGGGTCTGCAGGGCTGAGGGGCCGCAGTGGGTCTCCTGTTACCCGAGCTGGGGAAGGGGTGCCACAGGGCCTCTATAGTCCTCAAAACCAGAGGATTCTGAGTATCGGAATAGCCTTACTTCTGCTTCTGATGCCAAGAGCCCCTAAATTCTCTATTTTCAGAGGCCATGACTGGAAAAGGCAGGAGGGTGGGGCACCACCCCTTGTCCCTTAGGAGAGCAGAGCCCCTCTGGTTCGCCACCTGGAGAGCAGCTGATGCACTGCAGGGGCCCTGGGACTCCCATCCACAGGCCAGGGGCTAGCAGACAAGGCTCAGAGACGTGGGCTGGGAGTCTTGGAATGGGCCCCTCCTGCTGGGGTCCCCAGCCATACTGTGAGGGCTGAAGGTCCCCTTGGCTGGGCCTAGTAATGGTGAAAGGGGAGTGTCCACTCCCTCATGACCACTCTTGGGCCACAGAGGCAGGCTAGGCCCCAGCTCCCGCCTGTCCCTTCACCCACACCACTGGCAGCCATAAGCAAGTCACCCCAGGCAACTCATTCTCTGCACCCGGAGCCCTCCTTAGTAATAAGGCCTCCCAGCACCCTCCTCTCAGAATAATCGTGAAAAGCAAGGACATGTGTGACTGGGAGTGTGGCGATGAGAAAACCTAGAGCAGATGCTGTGTGCCAGCTCGCAAAGCCAAGCTAACCCTCCCACAGCCTTCCAAGTGAGGCACCCTTAGCCCCACCGACAGAGGGGGCCCCCAGGGGCTTGGTGGCAGGATGGGGCCCTCACTGCCATCCAGTGCCTCAGCGGGAGGAGAAGTTCAGGAAATGGCCAGTCTCGGCACCACAGTTTCCATGGAAAATAGGTCCTTGTTTCCCATTCCCTGCATTCCTCCTGACCCAGTGCCGGGATAGAGCCAGGATTCTACCCCTGTCCTCAGGCGGAGGGCTGGGTAACTCGGTCTCCACCCCCTCCATCCACAGGAAGCTTTAGGAACAGATGAGGGGGTGGATGGAGGGGCAGTGTTTGAGGAGAGATAGGTCAAGGGAGGCAGAGACTTGAGAAACTGGGGGTGTGGGGTTCAGGAAGGAAACAAGGTGGTGACTGCTGCTCTGGAGAGAGCTCTGGGGTGGAGGACGGGGTGCAAGACCTCAAAACTTAGAAGCAGAGATTGTTCCTAAGCAAAACCCCAACTGTGGTCTCTAAAGCTAGGCCTGACCTTGATTTTTGGGAAGAAGCTGGCCTTGCTCAGGCTTGGGCCCTCGGGGAAAGTGAGGGCATCACCCCAGCCCATCCCAGGGGACCAAGATCTTCAGACCCAGATCCTGGTCCACACATTCCTCCTCTGGCCCCTCCACTCCCTCTGACCTTGGGTAGGTGGCTGCTTATCTGGGCCTTGGTTGTCTCTGTCCAAAGACTTAATGAGCTGGAGAGAGATTGAAGCAGGAAGTTTCCCAAGCCTGCTGCTTGGGGGAGTCTGCTGCTTTGATTCTGCTGCTTGCTGGAGCGGAGAAGTTGCTGGGTGTACTGCACTGCTTGACCTTGGCTACCTGACCCCCTTTCCGAATAATAAAGAATGCTTATGCTATGATGGATAGGGTAGCAAGTTTCCCCATACAAACTGTATAAAACCCTGCTATTTTTGCTCTTGGTGGATCAGCCTTTTAGGAGCGATCCCACTGAGCCCACTGCTGTGACAATGAAATCTCTCTCTCTCCAGCTCTCTGTGTGCCGCCTGATTTCTCTGGAAAATTGCCACAAGATGATGAGGGGACAGAGCAACGAGGAAGGGTCAAGAGGCACATGAATGTGATGCAGTGATATCAGTCTTATCTGGCGGGGCTGGAAGGTACCTCACAGAACCATTGTTCCCTCTAGAAAGTCAGAGGCTGGAAGAGCGTCAGGGGCTGCCTGAGGACATGTAGCAAGTTTGTGAGAGGTCATCCCTGGTTATACCCTCTCCCTGTCCCCCCACCCAGGCATCCTGCAAGGGAGACTTGAGATTGAGTGTGGCTTAAAGCATCCCCTCCCCCTGCTGGCACCATCCACCAAGGACCAGAAGGAGCTTCTGTGGCCTCAGCATCATTCTCTCCGTGCCCAGAGAGGCTGGTCTGGAGTCACTGCAGGAAAACACCAGGCGTGTTGCTTCCTGGTTGGATATCAAGAGACCTGGGTCTCAGCTCAATCCTGATGTCTGACCTCAGCCCAGTCACCTGGCTGTGCTGAGCCTCATCCCTGAAAGCTGGCAGGAGGAGGGGTTCGAGCGGGGGAAAAGGTCCAGAAGGGGTTACTCAGGGCTGTGAGGGGACAGGTAGGTCAGAGCTCCTGCAGAGGAGGACTGGCGTGCGGCGAGAGACTGTACACCACCCAGGCCGGACACACAGGTTTTATTGGGGACACGCAGTGGGCACGGCAGAGCACACACGGCTGGCACAGGGCAGGAATGGTGGGGCAAGGTGGGAGTGCAGGCAGTCTGAACCAAGCAGGTCCCTAGAGCTGCTGGGAGAGGTTAAGCAAAGAGACAGAAGGACAGGGCTGCTCCCCAAGGTCTGGCCTCCCCTAGTGGTCCGTGGAGAAGAAAGGCAGGAACTTCTCCAAAGTCCTGGAACAGGGTGTAAGTTAGAATCTGAAGCTGTGAGTTAGAAAGGACCAGAGCACACACACCACAGCCAATCTCCCACCTGATGCTAGTCCTGATGCTAGTACCCCAAAACTGCCTGCCTGCATCCAAAGTGGGGGTCCACCTTTCCAGCAGTGCCAACGGCTGCCAATGGCTCTGACCCTACATCTCTCAGTGTGTCTCTCCCCAGAACCCTCAGCCTCCAATGGCTCTGCATGAGGGAAATGTCATGGCCACATCCTTGACCAAACAGAGGGCTAGTCTTGAAACAGGGTGTTGATGGCACTTCCTATGGTGACCTTGGTGGATGCTAAGCAATAGGTAGGCCCCTCTCTCAAAGGGGTCTCACCAGGCTTGTGCAATGCAAAGAAGAATGAGGTTTGGGGATTCAAACTGAACCTGCTGATAATCTTGCCTCAGTTTCTTGTCTGATGAGTGGGTGGTGCAACCTCTGAGGGCAGTGTGTGCAACCTTCCATCCACTTCTGACCATCAACCATCATAACTGCACCCCCAGGATACCCCCAGTTCCACTAATGATTCCAGAGAGATTCCACACCATGATGAAACACATCCTCTCTGGCCAGGGAGCTGGGAAAAGCCTGCGCTCCCAGCAAGGCCACTTGAGAACCTACTGTCTCCAGCTCCAGGGGGCTGAACCCCTCTATCCAGCTTCCTCCAGACAGAAGGAAACCATACTGTTCCCCACTTGACTGCATGAACCTAAAAGTCCCCCAGCACAAAATTAGAGGCTGGAAGACCCCTGGCAGAGAGGCCATAGATTTGAGATCTGAAGTCACCCAAGTCGAACCCCAAGATCATCCTGACCAAGCTACTGCTAAGGGACACCCTTGGACCAGCTGGGCAGTTATAATACAGTTCACCTAAAATCAGACTTGTTCTTAGTGCAGGTTTAGACTCTAGAATATATCCATATGAATATAGCATGCTCTCTCTCAATATATGCACGTGTAGAGAGAGACAGATTGCTCTGTGACATGACAGGACCCCTTCCCTTCTCCCCTCCTGAAGCCATTCCCAGAAGAGCAAGAGCTGGACTGCATAGCCTCCAACATGCTGGCCACTCCCGACCGCCCAAGGCAGCCCCCCAAGCAGCCCCGCCCCACATCCCGAGGGCCCGAGGTGTCCTGGGACCATGCACTGGGGGCAGCGCTGCTCTGGGTCCTCAGGCTGGTGTTCACCTCTGGACACAGGCTTCAGCAAAGGTGTGGCGGCCAGATGGGCAGCAAGGCCTGTTTACTGGATTCCCCAAGGAGGCCGCTGTCGCCTCTGTCTCTGGTCTCTGGAGGGAGTTCGGTGGCTGGTTCCTTCCTTCTCTCTTCCATCTCTCTGTGTCTGTCTCAGTCTCTTTCGGGACCGTGAAGCAGAGAAGGCAGAAGTCCACGGTCCCGCCAGCGTCCCCACAAGCCTCCTCAGGCCTCCAGGTCTACAGCAGCAGCAGCAGCCAGTTCAGCTTCTAGACTACAGAGCCCTGGCTCCCCCGCCCGCGGCCGGAGCGCTTGCGCCAGGGACAAGAGAGGGAGGACATGAGCTCAGGGGGTCTGGCGAGCCGAGTACAGGTCAGCAGGTAGCAGAACGTCCCCAAACACACCTGGGGTGGGGAGCCGGGCAGGGGATGGGCGGTGGGCCAGAGGAGGCAGCTGCCGTCAGAGCTGGTTGAAGACCACGGAGGCCTTGAGGTTGGCGGGCTCCATGCCCTCGCCGAAGGTGATGAGGAAGAACATGACCTTGCGAATCTTGGCCAGATCCGACAGGCGCTCCCCGAACTCCTGGGCATCGGCCTCATTCCAATCCATGGCGTCCGAGTCCTCTTTGCGCCAGAAGATAGCAGCGGGGTCCAGCAGCTGGCGCGTCATGAGGTTGGTGAGGTCGGGTGTCCAGTTCTGGGAGGTGCCGGTGATGGTGACCTTGCCCGGCTTGTCCAGCACCACGTTCCAGCGCTCGAACTGTAGCTTCTGCTGCTGGATGAAGTCGAGGCGGTACACGGACTCGGCCGGCCGCAGCAGCTTCTCGCCGTCCTGGCGCTTCTCCCCGCGCTGCTTCAGGCTCTCCACGCGCAGCCGCATCTGCTTGGTCAGGTCCTCGTCCAGGACCAGCGGCATGTCGAGCTGTGGCTTCTGCGGCCCATCCTCCGCCATGGTCCAGCTGCTGCTGCTGCTGCTGCTGCCGCCGGCGCTGCCACCGCAGTGAGTCTAGGAGCTGAGTGGCCTGGGCCACACCACCAAGGCAGGAGGCCACCGCAGGGGCCCCGCCTACCTTTCCGCCCTCCCTCTCCCCTCCCCGCTCAGTCACTGGCCCTTCCTAGCCTCACCCAGTCCTCAAACTGGGGCAACAGTGAGAGAGGGAGTCTCCGAGTGACTCCTCTCCATGGGAGCAGGAGCAGCAATGGAGGCACCACAGGCAGCGGGAGGGTGACAGGCTCCTCAGGGACCAGATCGCTGATGTCAATTGCTGTGGCAACCGCCCTGACTACAGGGCTGGGCTGTGGCTGGCTTGTTTGTGAAGAGAGCAGTGTTGAGGGTGGAGGGTGGGGGAGAGGAGAGCAGGCAGGGGCCAGAGGTGGGGAAGGCCCCCAGCAGGGGCGAGGGCAACAACTACCCAGAGGGCCACCAATTTGAGATTTGAAGTCACCCACGTTGCTCGTGACTCCCCCTCACCCTCCACATCCAATCACCAAAGCCTGTCCAGTCCCCCTCCCCGATGCCCTGAGAGGCCTCCCCCACACCCCTCTAAGGGGACCCAGAACCAGCCCACCATCCTCTCCCACCTAGATGCCTGTCCTAGACTATGGTGCGCATGAGCATCACCTGTAGGACTTAACACGTGATTGCTGCGCCCCTGCAGAGTTCCTGATTTAAAGGTGCACTGGTGAGGCCTGAGAATTTGCATTTCTAACCACCTCCCAGGTAATGCTGAAGCTGTTGCCAGGGCTACACCTTGAGAACCACTGACTCAAATGATTCTTGCCTGCTGGCCCTGCCTCCATGCGGTACCACACAGCAGCCACATGACCGGGCTTCTTTTCGACTAAAATACCATCACTTATACCACCTGCCTCAGTTTCCCCCAGGCTACTGGAGAGAAGAAAATGACAAACATACATATCCCCAGTGCCTGAGGGAGAAGTGGAGTATGTGCGTGTAGGAAGAAGTGGAGTATTTGAGTGTAGGCGGGGGTGAGGGTGAGGTGGTGAAGCGAGGCTGCCATGCACAGAAAAGAGGACAGGGACACAGGTCACGGGTCACAGTACAGCAACTGAAAATGATCTGAAGGGTCTAGTGGGCCACAAGCACAGTTAATTCCCAGATGGAGGCTAAGGAAGTCAGTGGGACCTTGGGATACAGGAACAGGAGGGGTCACCGAAGGGACAAAGCTGTTAAGGTAATACCTCAAACCTTAGGGCCAGTTCACTGATTCCTCAAGGGCATTCAGGGCCTCTCTGGTGGCTAGGGGTTAAGTCTCAGCACTATGAAGCTACTGGCACCCACTGCCACACAAGTTCAATCCCTGGCCAGGGAGCTACCCACATGGCGCAGCAGACCTCTCCTGTCTCTCTGGCTGCTCCCCTCAGCAGTGTATTTCAGTCACTCTGCCTGTTCTGCTCCCCACTCTGTCTCTGGGGAATCCTCAGGCCCTCCATACCTCTGGCCCGTACCCCACTTTTTGTATGCATAAATAAATCTTTTTAAAAAAAAAAAAAAGAAAAAAGAGAAACAGCAAATGCTCAATTTCTTAAGGAGACTTGAGGTTGAGGAAGAATATGACTAATGTCTGTCTCCCCAGGGCCACACAGGAATTACTCAGAAAATGCTATCTGAATACACGAGCGATTGACACGACAAGAGGAGCTGCTGTGATGGAAAGGGTTTCCAAGGCCAGGACAAGAGGACATTCAGGAGGAAGAGAGTACACGGGCGCTGCCTGAGGTCAAGGTAAAGCCCAGGGCCAGGGGCGCACTGGAGAGGAGGTTCGAGGAAGAGGTGTGGAAGGTGAGGTGACAGAGAACGACCCTTCGGCTGTAGACTGAGGCCACAGGAGCAGGAGGTCCAGGTGGCTGGGGTGAAGGTGATGGAGATGAATCCCAGAAGGGATTCAACTTTCAGTCACCAGCACAGTAAATCCTGGAAACAACAGTATTTGGAGTGAAAAGACGGGGAAACTGCGGGTGCCAAGCCCCTGGTGACAAGGGTGCAGGCCAGGGTGGTTGATTGATTGGGGATGCTGGTTAGGTGGGCTGGGATGGGGTGAGGGAGCTGAACAGCATGAGCCTGCGGGGGTTTAGATGGAAAGAGTGTGGTTTGGGGGCGGCACTATGGAATGAGAATGCCCATCCCCTCTCCGGACCAGCAGGATGTGGAGGGAGCAGTTCAGACAATGGATGGGTGCTCAGGGGCCAAATTGGGGAAGGCCTGGTCTGCAGGAAGAGGCTGAAGGTGGAAACCATTGCCAGAGCTTGGGCCTCACAGACAGGACAGGAGGCAGGGTCAGCGGGACCAGGGTGAGGGAGGCCAGGGTCAGCCAGGGCCAGGAGGCTGCCGGCGGGGCTAGGCCCTGACATCCACACAGCTCTGTGCCCTCCGAGGGCCCCTTCCATCTTCCCACAACCCTGGGGACTAGAAAGGTCAGATTTACACCTAGGCCAGAGGAAGGAATGTCCCCTGCCCAAGGTTCCATGATTGGCAAGGGACCTAGCCAGAAGCAAACCCAGGTCTGGCCATGCCTGTTGGTGCCCGGCTGTATCAGGGACTAGAGGTAAAGGGCGGCTTCCAAGAGGAGGTGGCGTTAAGTGGAAGGTGTGATGTGCCTGCATCTGAGGCTCAGCATCCCCAGAGGGAGGGGTGGGAGGAGCAAGGGTGCTCCTCGGGCTGAACACCCCTCTTCCATAGAGAAAACAGGGTGGGGCAAGGGAGGCCCTGCAGAGCAACAGGTCCAGAAAACGAGGGGTAACAACAAACAGGACCCAGTCAGCAGGGACAGGAGGGGAGGGAAGGCATAGTAATGAGCTCCCCAGGGCCTTGTGCCTCCTTCCAGGACCCAGGGGCTATCACCACCACAGCACCGGGAGGCAGATTGCAATTGGCCCCAAGCACCCCCTGGCCCTGCCTCCCGGGGACCCGAGCTACCAGAGATCGTCTCCTCCCAGACAGGCTGCATGCCCTGACTCCCCAACAGAGGAGCCATCAGTGCAGAGATGAGCAAGGGCCTGCCCATGGTCACCAGACATCAAGGTCAGGCCCCTGCCTGCAGGTCCTGGGGCCCATCTTCCACTGACCAGAGGGGAGCTGTGCCAGGGGACGGCCTAGAACGCGTCCAGGGCAGGGTACACTGCAAGTCCTGGCTCTTTCTTGCAAATGAGTAGGCAGTCCATTCCCTAGGAGGGGACCGGATGAGTCAGGCCCCAGGAGGTCTGAGGCAGCCAGGCCAGATGCACAGCTGCTGCCCAGTAGCTGGATCTGACAATTTGGGAAGGGGCTCAACTTCCTTGAGCCTCCCCCTTGCCAGGCTCCTGTGGGCTCAGTGGGAAGATATAGGTTGGACTGGCTCAGCCCATGGGGAGCTCACCTCAAGAGGGGAGACCACAGATAAACAGGCAATTATAGGCAGGGTGGGAGCCAGCCCCACAGGATTTCTGCATGCCATCTCTATCCCAGCTCTAGCTGGGGGTGGAGCGCAGAGCAGGAGGCCTTGCTTGGGGCCTGGAGACAGGAGCGTGAGGACCAGCCTCTACCCAGAGAAGAGTGCCTGGCCCTGAGCCTCTCTGGCAAGGAGGCTCGTGAGTTAAATAATCCCCTGTGTGGCTCTCTGAGGCCCTCCCAGACACCCCATGACAGCACACAGCTATCCTTATCCCCACGGGACTGTCAGGGGCCAGACCCCAGGGATGGCCACCTGGGTGGCTTTGAGAAGTCACACCCCAATTTGGAAGACATGAGGGCAGGCCCCCACCACAGTCCCGGCCTCAGGCGAGGGCACAGCTCCCTCTGAGGGCTGACAGCGGAGCCCAGCCTGCACGTGAACACTCATGCTCAGACCCTGGGGCTCACAGCACCGCCACCAAGCACTGCACGAGGCAGTCTAAGTCAAGTGTCTGTTTCACTCTCACAACTCCCCAAGAGGAAGCTACCCTGACACCCTGAGTTTTCAGGGGAGCAACCTCAGGGTAATTATGAAACTACCAAAGGGTGAGACAGGGATTCAAACCGGAGCCTGTCTGTAAGACCGGGTGCTCAGAGTCCTCCGGCCCTGCCGCCAGGGCCGTCTAAGAGCAGAAACGGCAGGAATGAGAAAGGGGAAGTGACTTGACAAACTGGGATGGGAACCAGGATGCAGGCGGCCATTACTCTTTAGGGTGCACAAGTGCGGCCTCTACGACAGCCTCCAGATGCCAGAACAAACATGGGGGTGTACTGAGAGGCTGCCGTGCTCGGTTGCGCCACGAGAGGGCAACCGAACCCCTTTGGCGCCACTCAGGACGGAAGCCGCTTGAAACCATTAATCATGACAGTCACTCCCGCTGAAGCAGAGCAAAGCGAAGCCCAAGGAAGACCAAGGACTGGCCAAGTCACACAGCATTGGCAGGGGTTTCCTGAGCCCCAGGACCAGTGTCTGCACAATCACATGACCCAGGCAGGTATGCATTCTGCCTCGTGGCTCCAGGGACAACGTGGGCTCCCAAAAGTCAGAGGGGGGCACAGTAGAATCACCTGGGGAGCTATGCAGGTTCCCAGCACCTGTTCCCGGTACCTTAAGCCAGGAGGTGAGGGAAAGGCAGCTCTGATGCTCAGTCAGTACTGGGGAGCCCCAGTGTCACCCCACACCAGCCCTGCAGCACAGGCTTCCATCAAGTCCCACCTGCATGTGGGCAGCAAGGGCCACAGGCTGAGTGGACATACCCAGCACCCCCACCCCAAGACTCACCTTTTGCCACAGCGTCTCTCGGGAGGCAAGCGATGAGCACGCTGCCACGAACCAGCAGTTGCCCACCTGGCCCTGGTGCAGGTCATGGGAGCTGATGCCATCCACAAAGAGGCGGGGGTCCTCGCAAATATCCTGTGGGGAAGCACAGACAGAGATTCACCTGCCTCCTCTAATAACTGGGGGGTGGGGGAGGCACATGGCCAAGTTTCCCCAAATCTAACTTCCCCCAGGTATTGCCTAAAATGCCCTTCACCCTTCTCTCCCCTGCCCAAGAAACTGCTCTTCTGCTAAAGGCTTGGCAACTAATGAACACCGTGGAGGGACTTGGGGGCTGCACCCTGAGCCGACTCCTCTCCTGGCCAGCAGGGATCGGGGCCACCATCTCCAGCACCAGCAGCTTTGCAGGGCCACCCACCTGGCTTGCTGGGACTACAGTCATGATGTGGGTAGAAATTCCAGATGGCATGAGGAGTGCCAGAGGGGAGAGGCAGAGAGCTGCTGTGCCCGGCTGAGCTGACACTCCCAGCAACCCCTGCCCTGCCTCAGGCCTTGCCTCTTGCCAGTCTTGGCTTCTGGGCACATCTTCCTGCTGTCTCTGCTGACCCTCAGCCCACCTGAGGAGCATGGGGCTGTTGTTCCATCTTATGGATGAGGAATAAAAGTTCTGAGGGGGGCAGTGACTTGCAAGAACACAGAGCAAGCAAATGCCAAGGAGCCACCTAAGCACTCCAGAGTGCCCTGGACATGCCCTGTGGGCCAGGCTGGGGCAGGGTTAGGCACCAGGTGGTTCCCCAGTCCAGATCGCTGCATAGCCTGCCACCTCTCCCATCGGCATCTTCATTGTACAGAGCTGAGAGGGAGTGACTGCTTGCAGAGGGGGGCAGAACAGAGAAAGGGGTGCAAGTCCTGAGACGTGCCTTTCAAGAGCCAAACAACTACCAGCACCATCAGATCAGGACCCAGGCATAGGCCTGAGGGGTGGTGTTGTGGCCATTTCACAGGTGAGGAAACTGAAACCCAGAGAGACTAAAGAACCTGCCCCAGAAACACAGCACAGGCCTCCCCCACAGCAGGTGCTTCCAACTGTTGAGAAGTTCAAAGCAACAAAGCTGCTGAGAGCCTCCTGCAGGAAGCCAGCAGAGGGCAGCAGAGTCGGGAAGGGGAAAACCGAATTCCAGCTCCCCATTTACTGGCTGAGCAATTCTGTGCCAGTGTCTTCACCTCTCTGAGCCTCCATTTCCTCACCCACGCAGAGGAGACAGATTGTGACCCCTGCAGGGCTGCGTGAGTGCTCCACAGACCATGCAGGCAGAGCACGTGGCGGGTGGAAATGGAGCAAAGGGATATCAGTGTTCACTGAGGTGTGTGGGGCTCCTGTTGCCACCTTCGAAAGGGAAAGTCAATGTTTCGGAAGCTGATTTGAGGGTCACAACTCCCCTGAGGCGTGAACAGCTCCAGATGGGACTTTAGGGAGACAAGAGACCAAGCTGCAAGGTTTCCCAAGAGCAGACTGCCAGCCGCCACTGGTCTGAGTAATATTGTCCCAGGGAGGCAGCTGTCAGGAAGTGGGGGGGCCTCCCCTCCCCACAGCTCCGCTCTCTTATCTCCCAGGCCCAGGCTCACACCCAGTGCTGTGAGCCGGAGGGAGCCATGACTTAGCGCTTATATCCCTGGAGGGAGGGATGAGGGGGGGCGTCCTATCTGGAGGACCACAGCCACCACTCCCCATGGGAACAGGAATAGCCACCACCTGGCATCACTGGCGTCTGTAGAGGTGACCTCCTTGCACCTTTCCCTTGCAGATCTCCCCAGTCAGGGCCTGGTGACAGAGACACATGGCCCATTCCACAGAGAAGGATGTTGAGGCCCAGGCGGGGGGTGGGGGAGTTGCGAGGCCCAGGGTCAAGAGGCAGGTGAATGGATGGGATAGAATCCTGGCTGGCTGGGCTCTCTGACAGGACCCATCCCCAGTGAGCAGCCGCGCCAGAGAAAACCTGTCAGCCTGACACAGAACAAGACAGCATTAGAGGCTTCTCAGGCCCTGAGAGACTAAATTCAGGAGTCAGGAGCTCCAGCCTGCAGCCCACATTGCCCTGACTCATCCCACAACCAGGAGAGTAGCAGCCTCGCCAGCTCTGACCTAGAGACACTGCCTGAGGTTGGTGGCACCTGGGGTCTGCCCTGGCGTCCTGCAGCCACCTTGGGGGCACCGTGAGTGAAACAGCCACAGGAGAGTGCCCAATGACTAGGCACCCATTTTTGCAAAATGCCCCTGCAAGATGACCCCATCCTTCCCCAGACCCCTAGCCACCTACGCCCCCTTCCATCACCATTCACATGGGTTTGCCTTTGAGTCTCTGCCACCACCTGGAAGCTCCAGGCAATGACCTGAACCCGACTTCTGGCCTCCAGTGTGAGGAGCAGGGCTTGGCAGGTTCTGCAGGGGCTGCAGGCAGGATCTCTGGGAGCAGGATTAGAAGCAGAAAGTCCTGAAACAAGTCATCCCCCAGGGCTGGGAGGTAACTGCTATCCAGCCAACACGCCTCTCTGGGCACTGCCTCCTGACCTGTGGTCACCTCTCACTTGTCAGCCCCTCCCAGCTCGTCAGACCTGCTCCATTGGACACAGGCCACAGCCCACAACCACTTCCTTCCACAGCACAAGAGCTTCGGGCCTTCAGGACTCCAGGCCTCCAGGCCCAGAACAAAGAGGAATGTGGCAAGACAGCGGATCGAGAGATTCCCCACCCTCCTCATCCATCCACCTTCACTGCAGTCACCTCCTCTTCAAATCTAAGATCACAGCAGGGATCAGCCAGATGATTGGGGAAAATGAGGCGCAGGAAGGAGGCAGGACCTCTCCTGGGACAGGAGAAAGGAATAGTGTTTCAGGAGTTACCGTCAGTGCCCCACTCCATGCAACAGACCTGCTCCCCACTCCATGCGCCCCCTCTTCCTTCCTTCAGAGGGGATCGTTCCTGGGTAAGGCCATGCAAACTGCCTGTTTGTAGCATAAAGGGGCCTAATGTTCAGGAGGACCAAAGAATGTGGCTTTCTCCAGGTGCTGGTTTGGGGCACATGAGCCCAGGGGTGGGGCTGGGGACCACCAGGCCGCCTTGACAGAATTCTGGGAAGTTCCAGAACTGGCATCTGCTTGTTCCTTTCTGGGTTCTACCAAAGGCCCTGCAGGCTTATCTCCTGAGACAGGGAGAGGCAGAGTGCTGAATGGGGAATGGGGGTACACTCTGTCCCCACAGGGATGAGAAGAGACCCCTACAAGGTCCTGGGTCTGAGTGAGGAGAGGTGGCCTCCCCCACCCATACCTCAGGATTTCAGAGGGCACAGGCCTGTGACAGTCCCCTTATCTTCCTGTCCAGGCCCGCCTGGGGGAGGCCAGCCCATGTTTACTGAGGTGGAGAGAACAAAGAAACAATGCGGGAGGAGGTGTGCGCCCCAGACAGGTGCTGGGTGGGGACTGAAGTGGAAAAGTCTGGCCCCAACTGCAGAGTCTGCAAGAGATGGAACTTCCACTCCCAGGTCCCCAAAACACTGCTGGCCAGGAGCAGGTGGCAAGAGGGGAAACCAGCCTGTCATCTGACCCCCCATCTGTGGTATCTCACCCCACAGATGCGCCTCAGTCATTTCAACCTCCAGAGACCATGATCGGCAAGAATTATCCTTCCCATCTCAGACGAGGCGATTGAGGCCCAGGGAAGTGACTTGCTCAGAGTCAAACCCCCCGTACAGTACAGTCAAGGCCATCTGGTTCAAAAAACATCCTCCGTAATGCATTTTGGGAGAGAGGAGGAGGGAAGACAGAGCAGGGAGCTGGCTGAGGAGATTCTTCAAAACCAGAGAGGCCACAATGCCGACCAACTTAAAGAGAAGGAGCAGGAGGAGGGAGAGGGATGAAGAAGGCGTCCCCTGGGGTTTGGGGAAAGTTGGTTTTTTACTCTTTAAAGAGTCGAATTGAGGCCACCCTATGGTGCAGAGGTTATGTCTCAGAACTGTGAAGCGGTATCACCAGTCATTCGGCATGAGTTCAATCCCCGGCCAGGGAGCTACCCACATGGTACAGCAGACCTCTCCTGTCTCGCCTGCTGCTCCCCTCAGCAGTGTATTTCGGTCAATCTGCCTGTTGTGTTCTCCGCTCTGTCTCTGGGGAATCCTCTCACCCCCTGCACCTCTGGCCTGTACCCCAGTTCTTCTACGCAAAAAAAAAAAAAAAAAATCTTAAAAAAAAAAAAAAAAAAAAAGAGTCACACTGGAAGAGGAAGTGGGCTTCTAGGGCCAAAGTTCCCGCTCACTGGTCAAACACCCAGCAGGTATGAGTAAATAGTTACCCCACCAGGCTGGACCCGCCCGACCCGCCTGAAGCAAGCCAGGCCTGATTCCTGCTCCAGCCCCTGTTTTGTCAGGCTGCAGGGCCCGCAGTGAAACTGGGCCTGCCGCCACACAGCGGCTGCTCACTCACGAACTATCTGTCATGTCCCGGCTGCACGGTCTCACCTCCGCACCCAACACCTCTCAGTCAGTGCCTGGCCCTGCCCTGCCTCCCCACCCCAACTGATGCCCTGTGGTCACTCCTGGGCCCTCTTCAACTCCCCACTCTCAACACCAACCACCACACAAGGTCTGTCAGGGGTCTCCATGTCCAGGGCAGAGGGAGCTCTGCTTCTCTTTTGGTGTCTAGAAAGGGCCAAGCACAAAGTACAGAAGGCGGTGCAGGGAGAGGGCAAGAGGCCCAGAGAGGACAGGGGACTCTGCCAGGGTCACAGGGCAGGGGACAGCTGAGCCTGGCTAGCCCAGCATTTCCTCCTCTCACCACACCTCTCACTTTCCCCAGCCAGCCCACTTCAGCCTCCCTCAGAGCTATGGATCTCAAATATCTGGGTACTGGCCAGGAGGCAGGAGAGGGTCAGGACAGGGGCAGCAAGGGGGTGGAGTCAGGAGGGCAGAATGCTCAAGAGACAGCCCCCCTTCCTAGTACCCAAAGCCTCACAAAGACCCTTTGAGTCAGGCCTCCTTTCCCATCCATCAGACAGAGGAGAATAGGAAAGGCCTGGCAGAGGGGGTAGCCTGCGAGACAGGAATCTGTGGCCAGGCCAGGAGGCTCCTGGGAGCCCAGGAGAACCGAAGCAGGGGGTCGATGCTAGCACAGCTCATGGGGCTGAGGTCAAAGCAATGTGAATCCTTTATCTGTTGTTGGGGAGGCAAGTTGGGGGAGTGCAGGCTGGGAGGCAGGACTCCTGGGTCCCAGACTTGCTTTGCTACCAGCTGGCTGGGCAATCAGAGCATGCTGCCACACTTGGCCTCAGTTTCTCTACTTCTCAAGCACCTCAATCCAAAACAAAACAGGATTTTATTGGGATGGAAGGGACTTGAGATCATAGTGTAACAGGGTGGTCCCCAGGAAAGGGGGAGGTTCCAGGTTCCCTGCCCCACCCAAATGGAGGGTGGAGCTGAGCAGAAGAAGCTGCAGAGGAGACAGAGGAAGGGAGAAAGCAGGATGGAGCCAGAAGGAGACCTAAGGGAGGCGCATGGAGCCTAGAGACACGTAAAGAAACTGCGCTTGTCTTTTGGTTGTGGACGGGGTGACACAGATGTGGGTGAGACCCGTGGGGAGGTGACAATGGCAGCTTTTATCTTGATTTTGATTTTGCTCTTTTCCTTCCGGGCTTGTCTGGTTGTTTCTGACCCTTTTCTGTGGGTCCCCACTGGAAGATGCTTTAGACTTGTGGCAGGCTTTGGGGCCTTGCTCTGGGCCAATCCCATCTGGATGGAGTTTTACCCACAAGGGGACGGGTAACTTTGGGTGCTTGATTTAGAAACTAGATTCTTTGTCTTTCCTGTATTGTTTCCCAATTGTATTAAAGTTCCTTCCCATTAAAGTCTCATATGTTTTGTGTTGATGCAGCGGATGGCAGAACCCATTTAGAGCAGGCAGGTTTGCGGGGTCTAGGGTGCCCCTCTCCCTGCCCTGTAACAATAGTATAAGAGGAATGTGAAAACTAAGTTTCATTTTCCCAAATGTCCGTGGGGCTGGAGGAAGCTCTGTAAAATGTAAGTCTGACCCTGCCACACCCCACGAAAGCCTCAGAGCACAGCACCCAGTCCTGACAGGACCCCAAATGTCCCCCTCCCCTTGCTCTCCTTCACAGGCTCTCCCCTTGCCCAGGGGCACTGCCTCCTTGTAAACAAGCTGAAGGCTTAAGCCTCCCTGGGCTTTTCACACTCTGCCTTCTGCCTGCACAACTTTCCCGGCAAACGCCTTCTCTCATTATTGGGCAGCGGGTGTCTCCCCTGGGCCTCAGCTGGGTACAGCAGCATTACGGTCCTCCTTGTGACTGACTGTGTCACCAGCACAGCCGTGGAGAGAGGAGGGACTGGAGGGGTGGGGAACTGGGTGGTGTCCTCCAGTGGCCTCCCCAACACCCAGGCCCCCTGGGGCATGCACTCTCACACTCAGGAATGGGCTGAAAGAGACTGAAATCATGTTCCCAGGTCTAAGACGTCTGCTAAACACATTCTAGGTCCCGCCCTGGCTGGGCAGGGCAGTCACCAGACACCGACAGTGATGTGATGGCTGCCTGGCCTGGTGTGGGCAGGACTCACAACAATCCTCAGGCACCCTTAGTTTTTACTTCTATCATTATTGATTAATCATAATAAATACTGTCCATGTGCAGCAAATGACTATTTAATCATCATTATGATTAAATTCCTTACACTTGAATGTCAACTCTTAAAAAAAAGGTCACATCCACATCACCACATTTTTACTCCCAAAACAGGAGGGCAGCAGGGCAGAGGGCAGGGTTTCCCAGTGAGGGGTGGAGGCCCGGGGTGGGGAGGGGGAGTCATGGGGCTGCGGTGGTCCCGGCTCCCTGCCAGATATAATCCCACAGCAAGAGGCCCCACATGTGCCCCTCTATTTCCTGAGAGGACTCCCCCTGGCCACCCCACTGTCCCCTGCACACTGAGCCCCATGGGTGGGGCTGGGCCTGCTCATCTCAGTTCTTATTTAGACCAGTCACTGACCTTGGGCCGCTTCCATCTGACCATGGGTCCTGGGGTGCCCTTATAGTACAGAGAGTCATCAGTGGCTGGGAAATTAGGGTCCTCGAAGAGCACCTTCCTGCGCAGACAGGCCCGCTTCAGGGCTGAGTAGTTCTGGTCCTCGTAGGGCTTCACGCAGGAGAACATGGCGGCCGCTGCCCCAGGGGGGTGAGGCTGAGACAAGGCAGTGGACGATGGAGGGGGTATGTGGGTAGCTCCAGGGGCACCTGGGAGGACAGAAAGGCAGGACATCATCACTCACCAAAGGCTGGGGGCCCAGGGCACGATGCGTCAGATGAACCCCCATGAAGCAAGCAACCTCATTCCTACCCATCAGACAGAGGAGAACAGGAAATAGTATTTGTGGGCCTCCCCTGGTAGCGCAGGCGCTTGAGCACCGTGCTGTGAAGCTGTCAGCAGCCTCTGCAGTGCCAGTTAGATCCTGGCGGCCGGCCGGCGGCGAGAGTCTTATATGGCGCGGCAGACCTTTCCTGTCTCGCCAGCTGCTCCCCTCAGCAGTGTATTTCAGTCAGTCTGCCTGTTCTATTCCCCACTCTGTCTCTGGTGAATCCTCTCACCCTCCTGAGCATCTGGCCTGTACCCTGGTTCTTGTATAAAATAAATAAATAAATTTTTTTTTTGAAAAAAGGAAATAGTATTTGTACAGGCCAGGAACTGAGGCTCAGAGTGGGGGAGAGGCCTGCCTAAGGTCACACAGCTGGTGCTTGCAGAGCAGGGATGGAAACCAACCCACCTTACTCCACAGCCTGAATTCTCTCATTCGTGATGCTTAAAGGTGGTGCCAGGCCTGCAGGCCAACAGGCTGAGGACACAATCACGGGCTGACCAGCCACTGCAGCTCCTTCCTTTGTTTCGCCAGCTTCCCTAGAGCTCCCTGGGGCTGAATCAGACTAGAGGCCAACCCGCAACCCCTTCAAGAAAGCAGTACTAGCCCCAAGTTCTTCTCCTCTAGACCCTCGCCCCTTGATCTAGGGTGACACACTTCTGTCTTACACAGAAACCTTGATCCAGGTATCCCTGCCTCACCTTCCACAAATTCACTGTCTTTCTCTCCTGCCCCTCCTGCCAGCACTTTTGGGATAAGCGTCTCCGGTTCTGCAGGAAGCACTCTCATCACTCCTTAATCCTAGTCACCTACCACCTGTGGAAACCCCGCACCCACAATCTCCAAGGTCAGATTTTCCCACCTTCCAGACTTCCAGCCTCTCATGTGCCTGAATGTCTCCTCTCCCAGGGCTTCAGGGGCATCTGGCACTAGGCTGACCCCTCTCCCACCCCTACCTCACCTGCTCCTCTGGGGCCCCCAGGGGGCTGCACCATGGTCTGCTCATGTCCCCTCCGATACTCCTGTGTACAGCCTAGAACTCTCTTCTGGGCCCCTCATAGGCACCAATCAAACACTGAACTTATCCCCCACACATGCCTGGATTCCCTATCCCAGGGGATGGGGCAATAAGCACCCCATTTAAAACAGAGGCCCTGGAACGCGAGGCCTGCTTGGTTTGTTCCTCCTGCACACACAGCTCTGAGCACAGAGGCCACACAGAGGGCGGCTTCACAATAGCACCTTCCCTCCTGCCCCAGAGGACCAGCCCACAGCCCTGAGCCTCACAGCCAGGTGTGGACCAAATGCAAAGGCCACAGACTGGAGTGGCATGGCCAGAGATGGCCTCCAGGAGAGGGGGCAGGGCAGGGTAGGAGCAGCAGCCAGCAGGACCTGACACACAGGAGCCCTGACGGGGTCTCCTGTGAGGTCAAACCCCCGAATATCAGCCCATCTGTGTCCTGGTGTGGCCAACTCTATGAGACCCCGGGCACAGCCCCATGTCTTGCCCTGGGTATCGGGGAGCCTCTCTGAGGCACAGGCCACTTCTCAGCCCAAATGAGGGAAACTGAGGCCCGACAGGCTGGCAACTGGGGTGAACAAGAGTTTGGGAGCAAGACTGACATGGATCCAGTCCCAGTTGCGCCACCTGCCATGTGGCCTTGAACAAGCCACTCAATCTCCCTGACTCCCCATTTTCTCATTTCCACCATGGACAGGGACAATGCTGCTTCGGTAGCTGGATTTTTTTTTAAATTAATATTTTATTTTATATAATTCTTATATCATATTTCATTTTTGCACAATGTATGCATTATCATTTTGGTTATATTCCCCATACAACTGCACCGCCCCTTATTTTGACCCTAGTCCTTCCTCTCCCTGCCCCTCCTGTGGTATGTCTCTGGTTTATAGTTGCTTGTTGATTTTGATTTTTACTTTGTATTAATTAATCTTTTTCCTGGTCCCTTATTTAGGTTTCTATTTACAATAGCTAGGCTATGGAAACAACCCAAATGCCCAAAAATAGATGACTGGATCAAGAAGATGTGGTACATATACACCATGGAATATTACTCAGCATTCAAAAAAGATAAACACATGCAGTTTGCAGCAACATGGATGGCGCTGGAAGGGATCATGCTCAGCGAAATAAGCCAGAAAGAAAAAGAAAAATACCAGATGGTCTCACTCACAGCAGGAATTTAGAAAACCTAAATAAGGTAGCTGGCTCTCAGTTAACTAAAGGCCAAGGAGATTGCTTAGTGGGCCAGGGGGAGGAGCCACCAGAGTAGAGAAGCCACATCTCAGTCCCAGAGAGCCTCATTCCTCCAGCACGGGCCAGGGGCCAGCCACCCGGCTAGAGGTTTGTGTACAGTATTTGAAAACAATGAAAATAGGCCCTTGTGATTTTTCAGAAAAGAAAACTGAAGCTCAGTGGAGAGATGACTTGCCGAAGGCCCATGGTAGAGTCTGGACTTGAACCCACCTTGGGGCATCTACCTTGGTCTTGAGACCTGGCAGCTTAGGAAAAGGGCTGAGGGCGGGGCAGGGCAAGGCTCCCCCCACCCCCCCAACTACAGTGACAGAGTCAGACTGACAAGAAGGAAAAGAGAGGTGGATGCACCAGGGAAGTGAGAGTTAGGGATGAAGATGAGCGTGGGGGTGGGTGGGGGGTGAGTGCAGAACATGGAAGAACAGCAGGAAATGTAGGGAGGGCCAGTGGGCCCTGCCTGCCAAGGAGCTGAGAGCTGCTTTGTCCTCTGCTCCAGATGCACAGCCACTCATCTCTCGCCCCCGCACCCACACAGGGCTGGGCTCCATTGCTGTGTGACCTCAGGCCAATCACTTTAACTTTCTGATGGTCCCTCTCTCCCGAGGCCAATAGCCTCCTCCAGTCCCACCCACCCACCCCGCTCTACCCCACCCCACCCCACCTCGGAAGCCAGAGGGAAGGGGGCGGGGGCAGAGAGACAGTCCCCAGGCACAAGCACACAGCCACACAGGAGAGTCATTAGCATCCCAGCAGGACCAGCTCAGGAAGCAATTCAAGCTGCAGGAATTAGATCAAAGAAGTTGAAAGCAGGAACCCAGAAATCAACTCCAGCACTTCCAGTGTTGAGAGACCCAAGGGCCCAGGGCGGGGAGGTTGCTGGCCTGTGGGTCACGCAGCCACTGCTGGTAAGGAATGAGGGTTCTGGCTGCCTTCCAGGCCAGGCAGGGGCCAAGCAGCTGGGAAGATTTGCTCCCGGGAGGCAACAACTGAGGGAGGTGGGGCTGTGAGGGAAAACTCCACTGGGCCAGAGGCCAGAGAAAAGTGACCAGGCCTGGCTGATAGAAGAGCTGAGCCAGTGCAGCCACCTTTCTGGCCTTACCCCTGCTAGTGAGGCTGACCCTGGCCTACTTATGTCAGGCTCTTATGGCCTTTGCCTTTGCACAGCTTGCCCCTTATGCTCAGACTGCTCTCCTGCACCCGCCTTCTGCCCCAAGGTCTCCTCTCACTCCATCCGAGGTCAATACACCCATCGGGCACAGAGCCTCCCAGCTCTGCTCTCTCCCTATAGTTTCAGGCATAACCACTGATAAGACAGGTGGCGGCAGGGCGACCTTCCAAACTCAGGCCTTGCGTCTGAGCCTGAGTGAGGGCTTCCCAGCTGTGCTTTCAGCCTTCCCTTTGCCCCTGCCAATCTCACCATGCACCTGCTATCTCCACTCCAGGCCCAAATTCCAGCACAAAGAGCTCCTCACACCTCCCTAAACCTGTTTGCTGAGGATCTCTGCACACACTGCTCTGGCTACACGCGGGTACTTGGAGGAACTCCCAGTCACCTTTCAAGACTCAACCCAAGCACCTCCTACCTGCTCCTGACATTGCTCCTCCTGTCACATCTAGTACCCTGGACCCCCTGTGATGGTACTGCTACACTGTACCCCACACGTGTGATACCTAACACTGGCCTCAGTTTCCCTCGGCCAATAAAAGTAAACAGTTGGAAAAAAAAGGAAAGTGGTTTAATTTGTCAACAACTGAGGAGGGTAGCAGATTCGTGTCTGAAAGACAACTGTTTTGCTCTTTGGCAGAGGGCAGGGGTATTCATAGAAAGGGGAAAAAGGGAGGGTTAGGGGGAAAAGGATGTCCTAAAGTTAATTCCATACAGGCTTTGTGGACTCCACCCCCACCCCAGGCCAAAGCCAAGACACTGGAAACTCCAAATCCCATCACCACCAAAGGGAAGGTGGCTGGGACCTGAGGGTGGGGTTAAGCAGCCAGGTTGAGATAAAAGGCAGACACATGGGCTTTGGGGGTCCCCCATTTTGGCTCTCCACCAGCTAGCAGCGTCTGGCCAGCTCTGAGAGTAACTTTGGGTTTCCAGGTCGTCGGATCGGGTAGGATGCATTAAAGACTTTATTTCCCTATTTTCTCCCTGAGTTGTACACTTTCTTTATTTCCTTTTCTCTTGTAAATAAACCTTTTATTAACCTTTTGTGTGTGTCTGTAGTAGAGTATTAATAAGTCCCTTTAAAGCGCGCTGGTGAGGACCCACAGCCAGGAACCCGTTCAATATGGGGGCTGCTCTATAACAGCTTGGCGCCCAACGTGGGCCAGGGTCCGCAAAGGGGAGGGGGAAGGGCTCTGCGCGGAGACGGATGGGTGCCAGTTTGCTTTTTTCAACAACTGCTGTTTAACTCCCTTTTCCTTGGAGTGCAAGAAGACAAACCTGTCAAACAAGGGGGAACTTGCTAGAAAGACAAACTTGTTAATGCTTATCTGAGAGAGGGGTCATAAAGGAGGCAAACTTGTCAGATAAGGGGAAGTGACAAGAGATGGAGGAAGACAGACTTGTTAATTCTCATCTGAGAGGCCAGGCGTGTGGAACTGCA